AATGAAACAGAGAAAACTTGAATCTGCAAATAAATGTGGAAAATTGCTGGCTTGGCAATTAAAAAAGAGACAGAAACAAAATATGATCACAAATATTGTATCGGAGGGAAAATCTGTGGAAAACCCTGGGGATATTAGAAAATGCTTTCAGAAATATTTTAAACAGCTGTATAAAAAAAGGTAAAGAAGATAAAGATAAAATTGAGCAATTTCTTAGGACAAATGAACTGCAGGAAATTCCTGGAGATAAAAGATCACTACTCAATGACATGATTACAAGACAGGAGGTTGAGATAGCAATAAACCAGATGCAATTGGGCAAGGCTCCAGGACCGGATGGATTATCTGCCAAATATTATAAAACCTTTAAAGAATGGCTAATTCAACCTTTGGCAGAGGGGAGATACTGAGAGGGGAGAGGGCACCTGAAACCTGGAGAGACGCATATATAACTCTGATAAAACAAAGAATACAAAACAAAATTCATTCATACTACAATACATAACTACATAACATTAATATATATGGTTTATGAAAAAAGGCTTACATAACAAAATCAATTCAAAATACCACCCAGTTTACTTTTTTTCCCTTTCCCCTCCCTCCCCACTCCAGCCCTCCCTGCCCCCAGTCAGGGCTTCCTTCTTCATATCTTTATCCATGTACACAGTCTGTTCATTCGAGCTTGTATGTTAGGGTTGGCTTCCCCTCTTTCTATCCATTTCCTGTAAAATGCCCATTTATTTGTGATTCGTTGGCATTTATTTTCCCATCTATCCTCTGCCACTATCTGTGCAAATATTTCTCATTGTACATATTCAAAAACATAATCATTCCATTTTTCCATATTCCATTTGGCCTTTTCTTTCCATCCCAAAGCAATAACTGCCATTCCAGCTAAAATCATAATCTTGTACAACTCTTGCTTATTACTTTTTACTTTGTTATTTCCCAGTATTCCCGAAAATAACAAATCCCTATTAACTTCTATGTTTATTTGAAATAATCCAGAAATTACCTTTATAATCTTTTGCCAATATTCCTTAACCAGATTACATTCCCACCACATGTGTGAATATAATCCTTTTTCCTGACCACAATGCCAGCATTTGGGACTAAACCCTTTCACTATATACGCCATTTGTGCCAGAGTTCTATACCATTTTAATAAAAAAATTCTACTTAATTCTTTATACTTTTCTATTTTAATATTGTTTATATTCTTCATCAGTTCTTGGGCCGTGTTTGGATGGATCATACCTTCCTGCTCCCATTTAATCTGGATTATCTTTATCATTCTTTCTTTGTCGCTTATCATCAGTTTATATAACATCCCTGCTATCCCTTTCTCCATTATTTGTCTTTTGTTCAGCACCATATCTATTTTCATTTCTGTCCTCATCGTTTCCTCTGCTCTTTCCCTTTTTATTAAATCACAAAGTCCTTGCACTTTCAGCCAATATTGTTTTCCTATTTTTTCTAAAAAAAACTTTTTTGTAATTAAATTCCCTTCTTCATTGAACATATATTTTAATTTATAAAATCCGTGATTTTCTAATTTCTTCCACCAACCCGGTTCCCTTTGACCCTCCTGCATATATTTTAACGGCGTCCACCTTGAGTATGTTGGCATCCATTTCGTATTCCAATTCTTCCAGATTCCTAACGCAGTTTTCCTTGGTCCTATTGTCTTCTTAAAAGCCGTATTAATATCTCTATTAAATATCCCTTCTCTTCCTATTCCTTCATTTATTTCATTCTCCAGCCTTCTCCATTTAATCCCATCCTTATATCCAATATCTATTAGATTTTTGAATTGGAATGTTTCATAGTAAAATTCTAAGTTCGGTATTCCCCATCCCATCTCTTCTTGAGATGAATAATTTACCATGTCTGGGGCTCTAACTCTTTTACTTCCAAAAATCCAATTTTTAAATACCTTATTCCATGTTTTGAACCATATTTTCCTAATGGGTAGTGTAATTACTCGAAATAAATATAATAATTTCGGTACCAGAAACATTTTAAATGCTCTAATCCTACCTAGAATAGATAAATTCTTATTTTTCCATGATTTTATGTCCTTATTTATCTTCCTCCATGCTTCTTTGTAATTTACATCTGGAATCCTAGCAATATTTTTAATAATATTTACCCCCAAGTATTTAATTTTTTTCCTATTGATATCCATCTTTGTCATTTTTGCAGTTTCCTTCTTCTCCTCTTTATTTACATCCCAAAATAAAATTTCAGACTTCTCCAAATTTACTCCCAATCCCAACTCCTCTTTAAAGTCCATCATAAGTTCTCTTACACCCTCTAAGGGGTTTGTAAATAATAATAGGATATCATCTGCATACATGTTTAACTTGATTTCTTCCTTTCCTTTCTTATATCCTCTTATCCTTACTGAGTTTCGTATTCTATCTGCCAAGTACTCCATACCCAATACAAATAGTAGTGGTGAGAGTGAACATCCTTGTTTAACTCCTCTTTGTATATTGAATTGATCTGAAACCCCCTCATTCACTCTGACCACAGCCTTCCCTTCTCTATACAATTCCTGGATTGCTTCCACAAAGTTCTCTCCTAATCCTACCTCCCGCATAATGTTCCATAAGAACTTATGTCTAATCGTATCGAAGGCCTTATACACATCCAATTTTAAGACCACCAATTTTCCTTTTACCCTGCTTGTTAATACGTTTAACACATTTTTTATAGGATGGCCTATGTATCTTCCCTTAACAAATCCATATTGATCTTCCTTAATTATTTTAGGTAGTACCTTTTCCAGTCGCCTTGCCAGGATCTTTGTAAATACCTTATAGTCTTGATTTAATAGGCTAATTGGTCTGTATGACTCCACCTCTGTAGGGTCCTTTTGCGGTTTTTCAATCACTACTATTTCCGCTAGTTTCCAAGTGTCTGGGGCTTTCCCCCCTTCTAAGATATTATTAAATACTTTTTAAAGTTCTGAGCCCAGGATATCAATTGTTTCTTTATAAAAGTCTGCCGTAATTCCATCTAATCCTGGGGATTTCTTACTTTTAAATGATTTAACAACATTCTCTATTTCTTCCAAAGAAATTTCCTCCTTCAGTCTTACTCTATCACTTTCTTCGATTTTAAACCCCAAACTTTCCCTACTAATATTTTTATTTTCTTCTTTATATAAAGATTGATAGAATTCTGCAAATTCTTTCCTTATTTCTCTAGAGCTTTGTGTAAGTATTTTCCTTCTGGTCTTAATGGCCTTCACCCTCTGTTTATCCCTTCTTTTTTTTAAATAGTTTGCCAGTCTCTTATATGATCCTATTGAGGTTCTCTGAAAATCATTTTTGATCATATTATCTCTCTTCCACACTGCAACTATATCCAGCTCATCCAATTCCTGTTTTAACTTTCTTAACTGCTCCTGTCTGCTCCTTAGAAATTTAACCTGTTGCTGTTGTTGCAAAATTTCAATCTCTTTAATTTTTTCCTGTCTCCCCGAGTACCAGTTCTTCTTAATCGCAATCTCTTTCAGTATACAATGTCCTCTTATAACAGCTTTGAAAGCGTCCCATACTACCGGGATCTCGGCCGAACCATTGTTCTCTTTAAAATACCAACCAATTTGTTTTCTGATATATTCTCTGTCAATCTCTTTTGCCATTATTAGGTTATTGTACCGCCATCGCCTGCTTTTTCCATCCTCTTCCAGTCCCAGCTCCACAAATAGTGTAGCATGGTCTGAAATCCATATTCCCATAGTCTTTGCTGTTCTAACACTGATTTCATTCCCTTCTTTAATTAGCACGTAGTAAATATAAGAGAAAGTCTTATGTATGTTAGAGAAGAAGGTAGGTTTGGTGTTGGGGTTTCCCCTCTCAAAAACATCCTTTAATCCCCATTTAGATAATCTGAAAGTACTATCGTCCTTTATATTCCAATTACCATATTTTTCGCTCTATAGGACGAACTTTTTCCCCTCCAAAAATGAAGGGGAAATGTGTGTGTGTCCTATGGAGTGAATGCAGGCTTTTGCTGAAGCCTGGAGAGCGCTCCGAAGGCTTGCGGATAGCAGCCTGAAGCCTGAAGCTCGGGGAGCGCAGCACCAACTCCCGCTGCACTCCCCGGGCTTCAGGCAGCTATCCACGGATAGCAGCCTGTTCTGGGGGCTGGGGTCGCGGGAAGCTCGGGCTTTCCCCCAGCCCCGCAAGCTCCGGGAGCGGCGGCGAGGTTGCGTGCAATCTTGCTGCCGCTCCTGAACTTGTTTGGGGGGCTGGGGTCGGGGGAAGCTCGGGCTTCCCCCGCCCCAGCTCCGCGGCTAAAAAAGAAGCCAAGACAGCGGCGGGATCCATCCCGCTTGCTGTCTTGGCTCTGCAAAGCCGCGCGCAGCCTCTCCTGGCTGGAGAGGTTGTGCGTGGCTAAAGAGGAAGCCAAGACAGCCAGCGGGATGGATCCTGCTCGCTGTCTTGGCTTCTTTGCTCTTTGGGGCTGGGGGGGGGAATAATTTTTTTTCTTTATTCCCCCCCAAAAAACTGTCACGGCTAAAATTGCTGCTGTTTCTTTAATGCTTAAAAAAGCTGGGTCAGCATGAGTCAGCGACCTGCACCGGGTTGTATATATATACAGTGAGAAATGTTTGTTGGTTGGGTTGGTTGGTTGGTTAGTGAAAGCTGGTAGTGTTGGTGTGTACAGTTGGTCAGTCGCTTTTGCACAAAGACTTTTAAGAATAAAAGCAGAAAGTACTCTGCAAGGATAATTTTCTTGTGGACTCTTTTATGCTGACAAGGGTCCGAGGACCAGACTGAGGCAACAAAGGGAGGTCAGGACCCTTTGTTGTTGTTGTTTTTTACAAACACTGACAGGTTATGGGTCCAGTGTTTCTGAGCATGTGCAAAATGCAAAACGACTGACAGAATCTGAGCAGGGAGCTGGTGAGTCCTGGTGGTGTATGGAGCCAGTGGCTGTGCATTGGAGCAGTTGGTGGCAAGCTGTAACTGTCTGCAGCGATGCTGGAGCGGCTAGGATCTGAGGAACAGGAAAGCACTCAGCATCGGCTACTGGAACAGTTTGAACTGCTAGAAGACCACAGTAGGTGACTCACAGAGTGGCTACACCAGTTGCAGAGCCAGGCGGGACCTGAGGGTCAACAGAGGCAGCAGCTAGAAGCCGGTGAGTGCCAACCAGGACCATCCAGTTGGACTCTAAAGAGAGAGTCAGGAGAGATTGCTGGAGGCCCCACAGAAGGGGCTCAGCAAGCACCAGCAGAGATGGCAGATTTCCAGTCTTCCCAAGTTGTAAATATTGGGGGAGGCATCCCTTTTGAACTTCTCTCAGAGAGCAACTGGCTGAGTTGGTCAATTAAAATGCAGCAGTTGTTAAGGAGAGATGGACTGTGGGACTGTATTGAAACTGAGGTTTTGAAACGGGACTCTGCTGAGAAAAAACGGCTGGATGAAAGGGCTCGTGCCCAAATTATGCTGTGTTTGAGCAACTCCCATTTATTGCATGTAGCAAATGCCAGCACAGCGTTTGAGTGCTGGAATTTATTAAGTGCAATGCATGTCAGAGAAACTGCTGGAACTATAATTTCTCTTTTTTATTATTATATTCATTTTATTTATTTTATTATTCATTTTATTTAACATTGCGGGTCAAAATGACGGAGGCACAATCTGGTGTTATTGTCTGCGTCTTGAATAAATCCTTCGGCTTACACTGTAAACGTGGCTTTTCTATCGAGTACGGTCTCTGTTGAAAAAATCCTTCAGTTTTCAATTTTTAAAGGCTGTTGTTGTAACGAGTACATCGTCGTTGACTCACCGGAAGCCCAGCTTCCGTTTTGAGTTTTCAACTTTTCTCTTTTTTTTAAAAAAATAATTTTTATTAAGGTTTTAGACAACAAAGAAAGAGAAAAAAAACATACACAATACATATAACAACATCACACACAAAAAGCAACACAAAATTCAACAATAAAGAAAAACAAAAAACATAACAATTTAAAACAATATCTCTTTTCCATTTCCATTTTTAAATTACTTATTTTCTGGACTTCTTCATACCTCCCTCTTTTGTATTCCAATCCAAATTATTTGTCCAGCAGTTTCTTTTCCACGTTTTTAATCCCAATCTTTAGTTTAATAAAATATTAAAATCTATAACTTCAACTTCTTTAAACCTAATCCTTGGTCTTAGTATCATATAACGTTAAAATTTTCCCTCTTAATATCAAATTTCCATTTCTTTAAACATCTTTAATCTTAATCTTTAATCTTAGTCTATCATTAACTTTAACCTGTACAGCTGGAAACCACTTATTTTCAATCCAACATCACTCTAACATTCCTTAATTTTGCAGTGTTTCTGAAGATAGTCTTTGAATTTCTTCCAATCTTCCTCCATCGACTCTTCTCCCTGGTCACGGATTCTACCAGTCATTTCCGCCAATTCCATATAGTCCATAAGTTTCATCTGCCATTCCTCCAGCGTGGGAAGTTCTTGTGTCTTCCAATACTTTGCGATGAGTATTCTTGCTGCTGTTGTTGCAGGAACTATAATTTCTCTGACCAGAAGGCTGTTCAGGACTGTTATGAAAGAAGGTGAGAATTTGGCAACTCATCTTCAAACGCTGAAATCTCTGTTTCTTCAACTACAGCAGAGAGGTAAGCGTTACGATGAGACTGACCAAACCTACATTATCCTTTCAAGTTTGCCTGAAAGCTGGTTGCCTGTGATTAACAGCATGGAGAGTATGCGTCCCGAGATCTGACCCTTGAGTATGTGGTTGGAAGATTGACCGAAGAAGCAGAAAGAAGGTCAGATAGACACGCTGAACTCCAAGAGCGGAGGAGTTACAGCCGAGGGGGCCAGCAGCAGAATCTGCCAATGGAGCAACGCCAAGGTTTGGACTTGGCCATGGCGGTGAGGAGATGCTATAGATGCAACCAACCTGGGCATCTCCAACGTCAATGCAGGGCTATACTTCCAGGAGACGACGTGGAGCAGAGACAGCAATCGACGCAGAAACGTAAGCAGAAGGGGTTCTCTTCAGGGAAGAAGAACACACGTTCTGCTCAGTTTGTGTCTGCATTTTCTTGAGAGGAGAGAAAGATACCTCGAGGAACATGGTTGCTGGACTCTGGCAGCAGCAGGATTATCTGCAACAGTCGGGAGGACTTTAAGACCCTGGGGAAGCCAGCCAATGGAAAAGACTCAATCTATCTTGCTGATGGTCGTAGAAGCAAGATTGATGGCCAGGGAACATGTTTCCTGCAGTGCTTGAACACTACTCTACCAGAGACTCTGTCAGCAGTTTGGACTATTGATTACTGTCTGTAAGCTGTTTGATTAATGCAGGGTATAGTGTTAAGTTCACGCAGGATGGTTGTCTGATAAAGAATGGAACTCAGGTATGTGGCCATGCAAAGATGCAAAATGGGTTATATGTAATGCAGGACAAGCCTGTTAAAGCAGCCCAGGTGGTTCAGGATAATTTGCCAGTTCATAAGGGGTGTGTACATGAACTGCACAGGAAACTGGGTCACGCAAATTTCCGTGTGCTTTCAGAGATGCAAAAGGTGTGCAAAAATCTAAAAGTAAATAGCTGTAACTGTTTCCTAGATTGCAATGTATGTAAAATGGCCAAATCTAAGAGGAAGCCTGTGGCTTCTAAAAGTGACAGAGTATCTAAAGAGGTTTTAGAACTTGTCCATTGTGACGTGATAGGCCCTTTTCCACAGAAGAGTGAAGGGGGCGCCAGATATGCTTTTCTGGTAATAGATGATAAATCACGTTGTAGTTGGTTGTTTTTGTTAAAGCAGAAATCTGAGTGTTTCCCCACATTCAGAGAATAGGTTGCCCAAGCTGAAAAGCTCTTCGCTCGCCCTGTTGTGCAGCTGCAAACAGATAGGGGCGGAGAATTTCTGAACAAACAATTTGGGGCATGGTTGCGACGTAAGGGGATCACTCACCGTTTGACTAACCCTTATAGCCCTGCTGAAAATGGTCTGTGTGAAAGACGTGGGGCTGCAATACAGTCAGTAAAGGACTGTCTGCTAGTGGATGCAGGATTGGGTCACAACCATAGGCTGTGGGGCGAGGCTTTCCTTACAGCAAACTTTTTGATTAACAGAACCTGGTCTAGCTCTATAAAAGATATTCCTTATCGTGTATTGTTTGGGAAAGAACCAGAGTGGACAATGCTCCATAACTGGGGTTCTTGGGCACATGTAAATATCCCCAAAGCTCAGCGCCAAAAAGGGGGTGCTAGAGTGCAGAGACTGTGGTTTGTGGGATATCAGCCCTATGGCAAAGGATGGCGTTTCAGTTTACGCCCAGGACGCGTGGTTCTGTCACGAAGCACAGACTTTGCTGACCAGGACAGATGGACTGTGATCCATGCCAACCCAGATTGCCTACTGCCCCTGCAAGTAAGAGAAGAAGTTTCTTCTCAGCCATTGGCAACACAGGAGCAGGATGAGGAGGAGGCACAGATTTCCCCAAAAGATGTGGCAATAGATAATACTTCTCTAGAGGAAGAGGAAGACGAGCCAGAGATAAAGGGGGAAGAAGTAGTAGTTGTGCCTAGGTGCTCCCAGCGTTCAAACAAGGGTGTAGCTCCTCAGCGTTTGACCCTAGGAGGAGTGAGAGTATGCAATGTGAGTTGTGTGGAACCACAAAGTTATAATGAAGTCTTAGACTTACCCCCCGGGGAACGTGCTTTGTGGGAACAAGCTATGAAAGAAGGAATGGACTCTTTTAAACGTAACAAAGTGTTTGAGGTCATAATGCCACCACCTGGTGGCAGAGTGGTGTCATGCAAGTGGGTTTATAAAAGGAAAACCCTTGCATCTGGGGAACCACGTTTTCGAGCCAGATTAGTAGCCAGAGGGTCACTCAGATTAAAGGGGAGAGTTATGATGAAGTGTTTTCTCCCACTGTAAAGAGTGAAACTTTTCGTTTAATGCTCTCCATTGCTGCTGTAAGACAACTAGTAGTGCACCATTTTGATGTTGATGCTGCATATCTGCATGCAAATTTAGACCATGAAGTGTTAATGAGACAACCCCCTGAGTTTGAAGAGGGGAATGGTGCAGTCTGGCGTTTGAAAAAGGCTGTTTATGGTCTCAAACAAAGTGGAAGGTGTTGGAACCAGTGTTTAAATGAAGCCCTTGTAAAACTTGGTTTTAAAAGGAGTGTGGCTGATCCATGCCTGTACACCAAGGGGACAGGCAACAAATATCTAATGTTCTTAGTCTTTGTTGATGATCTGCTTGTAGCAGGGAGTTCCACAGATGAGATCCAGAAGCTCACAAGTCAGCTGGAAAAGAGGTTTAAGCTTAAAGCCTTAGGACCTGTGAGCAATTACTTGGGAGTAGAAGTAAGGCAGGAAGCTGATGGAAGCTTCCTATTGAGCCAGAAAGAGAAAATTCTTCGTTTGATAAAGCAGTTTGGCATGGAAAACTGCAAGCCAGTTCAGACTCCCATGACACCAGATTTCCCAAAGACAGTGTGTGATGATGAATTTGATCAGCCTGAGTTGTATCACTCAAAAATAGGATCACTGTTGTATTTAAGCCAGTGGTCAAGGCCAGACATTGCATGTGTGCTACAAATGTTCTGAGCCAACGTGTATCTAAACCCAGTACTGCCGATTGGTGTGCTTTGAAAAGGCTTATCAGATATCTAAAGGGGACATTAAATGTATGTTTGAAGATATCTAGTACACAAGATGGAAAAAACTAGAAGTATTTGTTGATGCGGACTGGGGAAGCTGTGTAGCTACTAGAAAATCTACAAGTGGCATGGTTATGATGTTTGCCAATTCCATAATTGGATGGAGGTCAAAGAAGCAAGGATTTGTTGCGACTCATCCTGTGAGGCAGAATATGGGAGCCTGTCGCTAGCATGCAATGAAATCATGTGGTTTATAACAGATACTAAAAGATCTAGATTGTAAAGTAGATTTACCTATCCAAGTGCATGAAGATAGCCAATCGTGCATTGCATTAGCGGGCTCGGAAATAATGAAATCCGCATCAAAACATATTGCTATCCGTCATGCAAATGTTAGAGATTGTGTACAGAATGGGGTAATCAAACTGGAGTATTGTCAATCACAAGATAATATTGCTGATTTGTTTACCAAGCCTTTGCCAGCAACATGTCATAATGAACTGATGACAAAACTGGGTTTATGTATATAGTGTATGTATGTATTGTTTCTGTTGAGTTTTTTCGCATTTAAGAAACAGAAGGGGTGTCACGGCTAAAATTGCCGCTGTTTCTTTAAGTCTTAAAAAAGCTGGGTCAGCATGAGTCAGCGACCTGCACCGGGTTGTATATATATATACAGTGAGAAATGTTTGTTGGTTGGGTTGATGAGTATGAGTTACTCGTGCGTAAACTGGTGCCTCTCTAGGCTAATTTGCCTTGTTAAACCTTTCTGACTGCACAGCCCTTTCTAATTGTGACTGCCTCAGTCACTGGCAGAATCCGTCAGTGGGCGTTTCTTGAACCTCTTCCAACATAAAAGTTGTTTGACACCCAGTCTCCTCCTCCTCTCACTGCGCGGGAGTCTTCTGCGCAGGGAGGGCGTGGGTAGCGGAGGACCTGTCCCCTCCTCACTGAGTTCCAGTGAAGAGTCCTGGAGCCCTCTCTCCGATTCCCCCATCTGCCCCCCTTTATCCCTGGTGTTGCGCTTAAATGCTTCCCCCTCAACTGAGCTGTTTCTCCCCCTGCTGCTGGGTCCTTCTCCAGCATCATCTAGGAGCCTCCCCTTCGCCTCTCGCTCCGATGTCAGTTCCCTGACATCCACCTCCCCCCCAGAATCCCCTCCACCCCTGGACCGACCTGTGGGATCAACTTCGTCCCCTTCGTCGGCCGACGACGCTGGGAACCCCCAGAAGGAACTGTCACCATCTTCTGTGGATTCGAAACCCGCTTCCCACCCGCTCTTACACCTGCCAACGGGGTGGTCCTCCCAGTCTGATTCTTCTTCCTCCGAAACCTCTCCTCCCTCCTCCTCGGAGTCAGAAAATCCCTCAAAAACCTCTTCATCATCTGTGGTTCCAAATTGCTCCTCCCAGAATCTCTCCAGGGGTTTGGGTTTGTCCGGGAACCGGCGGTGGAATACCTCCACCAGATACCTGTCCTCGAAGGCTTCCGTGGGAACCCACGTGTTTTCGGACCTGGGTTCCCCCTCCCACGCTACCAAATACTCCACCCGGCGCCCTCGCCACCTTGAGTCCAGTATTTCCGTGGCCCTGTGATGGTGTTCCCTTTCTTCTACCTGCGGGTGTGTGGTGACTTCTCCCTCTTGCCCCTGGAATTCCCGCCCTTCCCTATGCGGTGAGAGCAGGGACCTGTGGAAAACCGGGTGTATTTTCATGCTATCAGGCAACTTGAGCTTAAATGCCATGGGATTAACTTGCTGTGTTACCTCAAAAGGTCCCAGCCGTCTGGGCTGCAACTTCTTGCACCCCCCTTTGAAAGGTAGCCCTTGGGTGGACAACCACACCCGGTCCCCCACCCGTATGGTCTCCCCTTCCCTGCGGTGCTTGTCTGCCTGCCTCTTGTAAGTTTCCTTGGCCCGCTCCAAGTTCATCTTAAGTTGCTGGTGCAGGGCCTCCATTTCTTCCACAAACTGCTCTGCAGCGGGTACGCTCCAGTTTTCCTCCCCACTCCACGGGAAGGCCCTGGGATGACACCCATGGTTGGCCATGAATGGGCTCATTCCCGTGGACACGTGTTCCGCGTTGTTGTACGCGAATTCAGCCAGCGCTAGTTTTTCTACCCAATCGTTCTGCCTCTCGCTGACGTAGCAGCGTAGGTATTGCTGGAGTATACTGTTTGCTCTTTCTGCTTGCCCGTTGGTCTCTGGGTGTCTCGCCGTCGAGAAACCCACCTCCACCTGCAGCAAGCTCATGAGCTTCCTCCAGAACCGGGAAGTAAATTGTTTTCCGCGGTCGGAGATAACCCTCAAGGGGGTGCCATGCAGCCGGAATATGTGCTCCACAAACAACCGGGCTGTTTCCTCTGCCGTTACAGCATGTGAGCAAGCTATAAAATGGCACATTTTTGTCAGTAGGTCGACCACTACCATGACCGCTGTCTTTCCCCGGGACTTGGGCAAATCTGTCATAAAATCAATGGATACCACCTCCCAGGGTTTTCCCGGCGTGGGTAAGGGTTCCAGTAATCCTGCGGGGGCAGCCCGCTCCCCCTTTGCCCTTTGGCAGCGGTCGCACCCCCGTACATATTCCCGTACATCCTCCCTCACCCTGGGCCACCAGAACTGCCTGGTCACAAGCATCATGGTTTTGTGCTGTCCAAAGTGCCCTGCTGTGGGGTTGTCGTGGAGTTGTTTGAGTACCTTTCCCCTCAGGGTCTCCCCCGGTACGTACAGCGCTCCCCTATAGTACAGTACCCCTTCCTTCTCCTCAAACCCTTCTTGGGTCCCTCTTCCGTCTCGTAGTTCCCGGATTTTAGTTTGCGCGAACACGTCGTTTCTGGTCAGCCCAGCTAGTTCTCGTTTCCCCACCAAAGTTCCCCCACACACCCATCGGTCCTCGGGGATCACGTGTCGTTTCTCCGGCGGCCCCTCTCCTTCCAGGTACTCCGGTTTACGCGAGAGAGCGTCTGCTCTTACGTTTTCCTCTCCGGGCACGTATCGGATTTCAAAGAAAAACTTGGAGAACTCCTGTGCCCATCGAATCTGTCTCTGGTTGAGTACTCGTGCGGTCCTCCAGTACTCCAAGTTCTTGTGATCTGTGCAAACCTGGATCTGTTGTTGCGCCCCTATCAGTAGATGACGCCAACGACGAAAGGCGCGTAGATCGCCAGCAGTTCGCAGTCATACACTGTATAGTTTTGCTCCGACTTGCTCAGTTTTCTCGAGAAAAAGGCACACGGTTTCCATTCCTGCTTGCCCCTCCCTGGCTACAACAGGACCGCCCCTACGGCTCTGTCGGACGCGTCGGTCTCTAGCCTCAGGGGTTTCTCCAGATCTACGTGCAGGAGTTGCTCTTCCGATGCGAACGCCTTCTTCAGTTTTTCGAAGGATTGCTGGGCCTCTTCTGTCCACACAAACTTCTTTTGCTACTGAGACAATCCATGATGGGCGCTGTCAAGTGGGCGAAGTTCTTGATGAACTTCCTGTAGAAGTTGCTGAACCCTAGGAACCTCTGTACGTCCTTCCGTGTTTTGGGAGCCTTCCACTCCAGCACTGCCTGCACCTTGCTTGGGTCCATCGCTAAGCCTTTGTCAGACAACTTGTACCCCAGAAACTCGACTTCTCTGGCGTGAAACTGACATTTTTCCAGCTTGACCCACAACTGGTGCTTCTGCAGTCGTTGTAACACTCCCTGACGTCTCTAACATGTTGCTCCTCGTTGTCCGAATAAATTAAGACGTCGGTCCAAGAAGGCTACGCAGTTCTTGTACAGCAGAGACCCCAACACGTGGTGCATGAAAGCTTGAAAACAGGCGGAGCCCGACGGTAATCCAAAAGGCATAACTAAGTACTCAAAGGCACCTAGGGGTGTGAACATTGTGGTCTTCTATTCGTCCCCCTCCCTCATCCTGATCAAATTGTATGCGCCCCTGAGGTCCAGCTTGGTAAAAATTTTGCCTTTCCTCACTCGCGTTAAAATGTCGTCAATCCTTTTTTTTTTTTTAATAATTTTTTATTAAAGTTTTAAACAACAAAACAAGAAAACAACACACACAAAAAACAATACAAAACTTAACAATAAAAACACCAAACACAACAATTAAAAACAAACTCTCTTTTCCATTTCCAATTTTAAATTACTTATTTTCTAGACTTCCTCATACCTCCCTCTTTTGTATTCCAGTCCACATTATTTGTCCAGCAGTTTCTTTTCCACTTTTTAATCCCAATCTTTAATTTAATAAAATGTTAAAATATATAACTTCAACTTTTTTAAACCTAATCCTTGATCTTAATATCATATAACTTTAAAGTTTTCCCTTTTAATATCAAATTTCCATTTCTTTAAACATCTTTAATCTTGATCTTTAATCTTAATCTATCCTTAACTTTAACCTGTGCAGCTGGAAACCACTTGTTTTCAGTCCAACATCACTCTAACATTCCTTAATTTTGCAGTGTTTCTGAAGATAGTCTTTGAATTTCTTCCAGTCTTCCTCCATCGACTCTTCTCCCTGGTCACGGATTCTACCAGTCATTTCAGCCAGTTCCATATAGTCCATAAGTTTCATCTGCCATTCCTCCAGCGTGGGAAGTTCTTGTGTCTTCCAATACTTTGCGATGAGTATTCTTGCTGCTGTTGTTGCATACATAAAGAAAGTTCTATCCTTTTTAACACCATTTGGCCGACTATGCCCAGGAGAAAGGCCTCTGGTTTCTTAGGGAAGGTATACTTAAATACCTTTTTAATTCATTATATATCATTTCCCAGAAAGCCTTAATCTTTGGGCACGTCCACCAAAGGTGAAAAATGTACCATCAGTTTATTTACATTTCCAACATTTGTTATCGGGCAAGTGATAGATTTTCGCAAGCTTGACTGGGGTTATGTACCACCTGTATATCATTTTCATAATATTCTCTCTTAAGGCATTACATGCCGTAAATTTCATACCTGTGGTCCATAACTGTTCCCAGTCAGCAAACATAATGTTATGTCCAACGTCCTGTGCCCATTTAATCATAGCCGATTTTACCGTTTCATCTTGAGTATTCCATTTCAGCAGCAAGTTATACATTCTTGACAAATTCTTAGTCTTGGGTTCTAACAATTCTGTTTCTAATTTGGATCTTTCCACCTGGAAGCCAATTTTCCTGTCCAATTTAAATACCTCCATATTGACCTTTTTCAAGGCTTTCGCTTCCATTGGTGACAGCCACCTTGGGGTTTTATTTTCTAGCAAATCCTTATATCTTATCCAAACGTTAAACAGCGCTTTCCTGACAATGTGGTTTTTAAATGCTTTATGTGCTTTGACCTTATCATACCATAAATATGCATGCCATCCAAATACATTATTAAAACCTTCTAGGTCCAAAATGTCAGTGTTTTCAAGAAGTAGCCATTCTTTCAACCAGCAAAAAGCTGCTGATTCATAGTATAGTTTAAGGTCTGGCAGGGCAAATCCACTCTCTTTCCTTTGCATCCGTTAGTATTTTAAATTTTATTCTGGGTTTCTTGCCCTGCCAGACAAATTTAGAAATATCTTTCTGCCACCTCTTGAAACAATCCATTTTGTCCACGATCTGCAAAGTTTGAAACAAAAACAACATTCTAGGCAGTACATTCATCTTTATCGCAGCAATACGGCCTAGCAGTGAAAGCTTCAAATTTGACCAAATTTCTAAATCTTTTTTCACTTCTGACCAACATTTTTCATAGTTATCTTTAAACAAATTCCCATTTTTTGCTGTCATGTTAATCCCCAGGTATGTAACTTTCTTAACCACTGTTAAACCTGTCTCATTCTGAAACCTCTCTCTTTCACTCGGTGTTAATTTGTCTCTCAAACCTTGGTTTTTGACTTGTTCAATTTAAATCCTGCCACTTGACCAAATTCTTGAATCAGTTCTAAAACCCTTTTAGTACTAGATTCTGGCTCCTGTAGCGTCAATACTAAGTCATCTGCAAATGCTCTCTAAAATGTCAATCCTGGGCATTGGGAAGGTCACGGGTTCTGACACCAAATTGACGGCCCTATAGTCCACTACGAGCCTGGGTTTATTTGTGTCCTTTTTGTCCACAAAGAACACCGGACTGCCCCCCACCGCCTTTGATTCTCTTATGAAGCCTCTTTTCAGGTTCTTGTCAATAAATTCTCGCAACTCCTTCATCTCCCTGTCAGACATGGCATACAGCTTACCCACTGGCAGCTGAGCCCCCGGAAGCAAGTTGATCTGGCAGTCAAAGGGCCTATGGGGTGGCAGTCTATCTGCCTCCTTCTCGCTGAAGACCTCCCGCAGATCTGCGTATTGCGGCGGCACCTCCCCTTTCCGCTCCACAGCCATCCCAGCCACCCTGGCCACGGTCATTCTTGGGGCTTCCCCCCCAGACAGTGTTCCAGGCAGTAAGCTGACCCAAAGGTGACTGTCCTCTGATGCCACGCCACCACTGGATCATGTTGTGCTAGCCAGCTCATCCCTAATATTATTGGGGGCCCTGCTAGTGAGGCGACGTGAAAGGTGATGGTCTCCGAGTGCCTGGACACCCTCATTCTCATTGGTGGGGTCTGGTGTGTCACTTCCCCTCCTAGAAGCTCCCTGCCATCAATGGTGGTCACTTGCAAGGGAAAATCCAAAGGCAGTAAGTGGAGCTGGTGCTCTAATGCAAAGTCTTTGCTGAAGAAATTACATGAGCTGCCTGAATCCAGCATCCCTTTCACCTTGACTGGGTGCCCGTTCGGGAGTTCTAGCACCACTTCGATGGCTATTGCCGCCTTGGGGGTCTGGTTGGGGCACTTTTACTGGTGGCTGGCCTGGCTGCTGTGCCCCTTGATTGGCAGCCAAGCGTTCCCGTTTCCCTGTTCCTGTTCCTTTACCACCTCCTCCTCACCCCCTGCGGCTCCCACCATTCCTTGCCAGGCCTTTCTTTGAGGGCAGGCTCTGGCAAAATGTCCTGGCCGCTGGCAAAGGAAACACTTCTTGGAGGTTTTCCAATCCTTTCCCTCCTTCTTGCGCCCTTCGCTGGCGCTTGAAACTTCCCGCACGCGTGCCCCATCTATTTCCATTGGCTCTGCTGGTGGGGAAGGCTGCCTTGGTATTTCAGGAATGCGGTAGTCATGGCAACATTGCTCTCTCCCTTCCCGCCTCTCCTGGGCCCGCGCTTCCTGCCGCACGCCAATCTCAAGCACAGCCTTGGTCAGCTGATCCATCCCCTGTGGGCGGGGTGCGCGGGAAAGTTCATCCTTAACCGTTGGGGACAACCCCTCCTCGAATAACATTTGTATGGGTTCGGAGTCCAGTTGCCACCCGAGGCGGTGAACTATCATGGCAAAGCGCGACCAGTAGTCCCTAACTGACTGGCTCCCCTGTTTACAGTTCATCAGTTCCCGCTTTGTCACACTTTGTTGTACATCACTGGAAAACATTGCGTCCATTGCCTGGAAGAATTTCCTCAGGTCCTGCATGGCGGCATTCTGCGTCGCCATAAGGGGCCTGACCCATTCCCTGGCCCCGTCCTGCAGGTGACCCACAATATATGCCACCCGCGACGCATCGTCTTCAAAATCGTCATGCTGCAGTTCCAATGCGTACTCTATTTCCGTTCGAAACGTACTGTATTCCTGCGGCTTCCCCCCAAATTTGTGCACCAGTCCCGGTACCTTCCTTGCTATGAGGGTGGGCCTGACCTGTGCATCTTGAGACCGCCTTTCGTCCAGCCGCGCCGTCAGAATGGCCACATGCTGCTCCAACTCTCGGTTCCTCTCCACCAGCGTTTGCCCTCCAGCTGCTCCCCCCTGGGTGCTTGCTTCTCCGGGTTTGCTCATGATGCTGCCTGCCTGCTGCTGCGCACGAGCAACTTTCAGGGACTGACGGATTGCTGTGATGAGTATGAGTTACTCGTGCGTAAACTGGTGCCTCTCTAGGCTAATTTGCCTTGTTAAACCTTTCTGACTGCACAGCCCTTTCTAATTGTGACTGCCTCAGTCACTGGCAGAATCCGTCAGTGGGCGTTTCTTGAACCTCTTCCAACATAAAAGTTGTTTGACACCCAGTCTCCTCCTCCTCCTCTCACTGCGCGGGAGTCTTCTGCGCAGGGAGGGCGTGGGTAGCGGAGGACCTGTCCCCTCCTCACTGAGTTCCAGTGAAGAGTCCTGGAGCCCTCTCTCCGATTCCCCCATCTGCCCACCTTTATCCCTGGTGTTGCGCTTAAATGCTTCCCCCTCAACTGAGCTGTATCTCCCCCTGCTGCTGGGTCCTTCTCCAGCATCATCTAGGAGCCTCCCCTTCGCCTCTCGCTCCGATGTCAGTTCCCTGACAGGTTGGTTGGTTAGTGAAAGCTGGTAGTGTTGGTGTGTACAGTTGGTCAGTCGCTTTTGCACAAAGACTTTTAATAATAAAAGCAGAAAGTACTCTGCAAGGATATTTTTCTCATGGACTCTTTTATGCTGACAAGGGTCCGAGGACCAGGCTGAGGCAACAAAGGGAGGTTAGGACCCTTTGTTGTTGTTTTTTTGACAAAAACTAGGTGCGCCCTATGGTCCGGTGCGCCCTATGGAGCGAAAAATACGGTAAAGTCTGCTGTAACAATAACTTCCCCTTCAGCGTAAAGCTCATCACAATTATAACAAATAAAGGCTTGACATATCTCGCTTTGCATGTCATGAGTCTATCTCATATATTAGTTTCACCTTTTAAGTTGAATTACTGAAATAAATGAACTTTTCCACAATATTCTAATTTTCCGAGTTTCACCTGTAGATGTTAAAAAGCATGGAGGAGAGGACGGAACCCTGAGGCACCCCATAAGTAAGGGCCCAGGGGTCTGAACACTCATCCCCCACCACCACTTTCTGGACATGGCCCAGGAGGAAGGAGTGGAACCACTGTATAACAGTGCCCTCAGCTCCCAGCTCCTCTAGACGGTCCAGAAGGATGTCATGGTTGATTGTATCAAAAGCCGCTGAGAGATCCAGCACAACTAGAAAACAGCTCTCACCTTTGTCCCTAGCCCGCCTGAGATCATCAGCCAACACGACCAAGGCAGTTTCAGTCCCATGATGAGGCCTGAATCCCAATTGGAAGGAATCCAAATGGTCCGCATCCTCCAGGCGTGCTTGGAGTTGTTCAGCAACCACGCGCTCAATCACCTTGCCCAAGAATGGAAGATTTGAGACTGGGCGATAGTTGGCCATACTGTCTGTGTCTAAAGATGGTTTTTTATGACGCGGCTTAATGACCGCCTCTTTTAGCGGGTCTGGGAAGGCTCCCTCACAGAGAGAAGCATTCACCACCCCACAGAGCCCATCACCCAGCCCTTCCCAGCTTGCTTTTATTAGCCAGGATGGGCAAGGATCAAGGAGACAGGTGGTTGGTTTCACGCGTCCAAGCAGCCTGTCCACATCCTCGGGGGTAACGGATTGAAATTGATTCCATGCAACTTGACCAGACAGGGCTCTAGCACTCTCCCACCACAGCCCTGCTTCCAAGGTGGTGTCTACCTCCTTCCGAATCTGAGCGACTTTATCTGCAAAAAACTTTGCAAAATCGTTGCAGGACATCTTGGGGTCTTTACAAGAGTCTCCTGCTACTATTTTCTGTAGATGCAATAGAGGTGGTGAGGAAAGTCTTCTTCGCAGTCGCTATCGCCACTTGGTAGGCTCGACATTGAGCTCTAACCCTTGTCTGGTCCGATTCAGAATGAGTTTTCTGCCACTGGCGTTCTAGCCGTCTCAGTGATTGTTTCCTCACCCTCAGCTCCGAAGAATACCATGGGGCTGTCTGGGCTCCATGCAATCGGAGGGGGCGCTTCGGAACCAGACAGTTGATAGCCCTGGTTAACTCTGCGTTCCAGCGGGCCACCAGGGAATCAGCTGAAAGGCCATCAACATGGGATAAAGCATCCCTTACCACTCTCTGGAAACCATTTGGATCCATTAAGAGGCAGGGGCGGACCATCCAAATTGGTCCCACCTCCCTGCAGAGGGGAAGGGTCGCAGGGAAGTCCAGTTGCACCAGGAAGTGATCTGACCATGGCACTTCTTTCGTTTCACTTTTACTTAGTGTCAGATTACCCATGTCACTAGAGGTGAACACCAGGTCTAAGGCATGTCCATGACTATGAGTTGGGCCAAACTTATTCAGGGACAGCCCCATAGAGGCCATGCTTTCCACGAAGTCCCAAGCAGCCCCTTGTAAGGTTGTGGTGGCATGGATGTTAAAATCCCCTAGGACAACCAAACTAGGTGTCTCCAGGAGAACATCCACCATGACATGAAGCAGCTCGGGCAGGGAATCCTTGGTGCAGCGGGGAGGTCAGTACACCAAAAGGAATCCTGTAGTGTTCCTATTGCCCAACTTCCAGAACATGCACTCAGAGAACTGGGTCTTCCAGTAGGACGCCTGGTGAAAGTTAGTGACTTCCTAAAAATCACTGCAAACCCCCCCCCCCCATCCACATGACCTGGGTTGCTGTGTGTAAGGGGAACCTGGTGGACAAGCAGCAGCTAGGACAGGCCCATCTGCTTCATCCAACCAAGTCTCTGTTACACATGCCAGGTCAAGTCCTCCATCCACGATCAAGTCATGGATGGCAGTGGGCTTATGAATCATTGACCTAACATTGCACAGCAACACCTTCAGGTCATGTGGGTTTCCCTTGTTGAGCGCAAATATAACATTGAATCACAATGGTATAAAATAACTCAGCAAGCTGACATTTATCAAGAGTTAAACAAAGGTTAGTGTACTAAATATTATTTCCAATTCTAGGTAGTTTGCTATTGGAGAAATACCATATATGATTATAAAAATCTAAAGCAAAAATTATTTAAAAAATATGATTTCATTTCTAGATCAGACAGACAAGATTTCTTCTACTATATACTTTTTTCTTTATCATATACACACAAAGCTTCTATTTTTAAACAGGAAATATTTTTGTAACCTAAGGTCTATTATACAAATCCGTACAGATGTTCATTTTGTTACAGTTCTGTTAAGTTGTATACAAATTATAAAGATTCCAAGTTTTTTATGTTCCTCCATGAGTCTATTATTTACTAAATTGGCGAGTTTTGCCATTACTGCATATTCTGATAGTTTCTCTTTCCATGCATTTATTTCCGGACATAAGTCAGATTTCCATATGTTAGCCAACACCACTCTGACTGCTGTGGTCATATAACTAAATAGTTCCACTGATGATTTCACAATACAGTAGCTGAAGGAGTCAATTCCAACTGCATAGTTTTGGGGTCCAATGCAATTTTAGGGTTTTTTTTTTAAACATTTTTTGCATTTCAAAATGAACTTTTCTCCAAAACTTTTTCGTCTTTTCACAGGTCCACCATAAATGAAAAAAGGTTCCTTGAGGTCTATGACATTTCCAGCAACGTCCATTCATTTCATTATTCATCTTCTGTATGTCTTTCAAAGTTATATACCATTGAAAGTGTCGAGATCTCCGCTCGGCCAAGCTGATAAAGCTCATTTTCCTCCGGCCGAGTCCTTCAGAATCGCCTCCCGACGTGATTAACGACCTGAGCCTTTGATGAGGCCTCAGGCACATTCCCATCCAGCAGAGTTTCCAGCACAGGGAAGTGATGCGATTTATGGCTACAGCGCTATGGTTTATTTCTTACTACACAGACAGGAAAGAAATAAGCATCCTCTCTCTATGAAAGCAGAGAGCAACTGAAACAAACAAAGGACCAGGAAACCACTAACTTTAAAAAAGAAAGAAAGAATTATTGTGTTTTGTAAAAAAAATCCAATAAAAGGGGGGAGACAACACCTGTTGTTGTTTAGTCGTTTAGTCGTGTCCGACTCTTCGTGACCCCATGGACCAGAGCACGCCAGGCACTCCTGTCTTCCACTGCCTCCCGCAGTTTGGTCAAACTCATGCTGGTAGCTTCGAAAACACTGTCCAACCATCTCATCCTCTGTCGTCCCCTTCTTCTTGTGCCCTCCATCTTTCCCAACATCAGGTCTTTTCCAGGGAGTCTTCTCTTCTCATGAGGTGGCCAAAGTATTGGAGCCTCAGCTTCACGATCTGTCCTTCCAGTGAGCACCCAGGGCTGATTTCCTTCAGAAAGGATAGGTTTGATCTTCTTGCAGTCCATGGGACTCTCAAGAGTCTCCTCCAGCACCATGATACGAAAGCACCAATTCTTCGGCGATCAGCCTTCTTTATGGTCCAGCTCTCACTTCCATACATCACTACTATACGGACCTTTGTTGGCAAGGTGATGTCTCTGCTTTTTAAGATGCTGTCTAGGTTTGTCATTGCTTTTCTCCCAAGAAGCAGGTGTCTTTTAATTTTGTGGCTCCTGTCACCATCTGCAGTGATCACGGAGCCCAAGAAAGTAAAATCTCTCACTGCCTCCTTTTCTTCCCCTTCTATTTGCCAGGAGGTGATGGGACCAGTGGCCATGATCTTTGTACTTTTTGATGTTGAGGTTCAGACCATATTTTGCGCTTTGTTATTAGCAGTGCTTTCTAAGGCCCATTTGACTTCACTCTCCAGGATGTCTGGCTCAAGGTCAGCAACCACACTACCTGGGGTGTACGAGACATCCATATCTTTCTGGTATAATTCCTCTGTGTATTCTTGCCACCTCTTCTTGATGTCTTCTGCTTCTGTTAGGTCCTTACCACTTTTGTCCTTTATTATGGTAATCTTTGTACGAAATGTTCCTTTCATATCTCCAATTTTCTTGAACAGATCTCTGGTTTTTCCCATTCTCTTGTTTTCCTCTATTTCTTTGCATTGCTCATTTAAGAAGGCCTTCTTGTCTCTCCTTGCTATTTTTTGGAAATCTGCATTCAGTTTCCTGTATCTTTCTCTATCTCCCTCGCATTTTGCTTGCCTTCTCTCCCCTGCTATTTGTAAGGCCTCGTTGGACAGCCACTTTGCTTTCTTGCATTTGCTTTTCATTGGGGTGGTTTTCTTGCTGCCTCCTGTATAATGTTGCGAGCCTCCATCCATAGTTCTTCAGGCACTCTGTCCAGCAAATCTAAATCCTTAAACCTGTTCCTCACTTCCACTGTGTATTCATAAGGGCTTAGATTGTATCTTACTGGCCCAGTGGTTTTTCCTACTTTCTTCAGTTTAAGCTTGAATTTTGCTATAAGAAGCTGATGATCTGAGCCACAGTCAGCTCCAGGTCTTGTTTTTGCTGACTGTATAGAGCTTCTCCATCTTTGGCTGCAGAGAATATAATCAATCTGATTTCGATGCTGCCCATCTGGTGATGTCCATGTGTAGAGTCGTCTCTTGCGTTGTTGGAAAAGAGTGTTTGTGATGACCAGCTTGTTCTCTTGGCAGAACTCTATTAGCCTTTGCCCTGCTTTGTTTTGAACTCCAAGGTCAAACTTGCCAGTTGTTCCTTTTATCTCTTGACTCCCTACTTTAGCATTCCAACCCCCTATGATGAGAAGAACATCCTTCTTTGGTGTCATTTCTATAAGGTGTTGTAAGTCTTCATAGAATTGGTCAATTTCAGTTTCTTCAGCACCAGTAGTTGGTGCATAAACTTGGATTACTGATGTTAAAAGGTCTGCCTTGGATTCGTATCGAGATCATTCGATCATTTTTGAGATTGCATCCCAGTACAGCTTTCGCCATTCTTTTGTTGACTATGAGGGCCACTCCATTTCTTTTACGGGATTCTTGCCCACAGTAGTAGATATGATGGTCATCCGAACTGAATTCGCCCATTTCCGTCCATTTGAGTTTACTGATGCCCAGGATGTCAATATTTATTCTTGCCATCTCATTTTTGACCACATCCAACTTACCAAGGTTCATGGTTCTTACATTCCAGGTTCCTATGCAATATTTTTCTTTACAGCATTGGACTTTCCTTTTGCTTCCAGGCATATCCGCAACTGAGCGACCTTTCAGCTTTGGCCCAGCCGGTTCATCAGCTCCGAATCTACTTGTACTTGTCCTCCGCTCTTCCTCAGCAGCATGTTGGATGCCTTCTGACCTGAGGGGCTGATCTTCCAGCGTCATAGCTTTTATATGCCTGTTGTCTTTGTCCATGGAGTTTTCTTGGCAGGGATACTGGAGTGGCTTGCCGGTTCCTGCTCCAGGTGGATCACATTTGGTCAAAACTCTCCACTATGACCTGTCCATCTTGGGTGGCCCTGCACAGCATAGCTCATAGCTTCTCTGAGTTATTCAAGCCCCTTCACCACGGCAAGGCAGTGATCCATGAAGGGGAGACAACACCTACAATGTTCTAATGCTGCTTTTGACAGGTTTCTATATTAATTGTATTGCCATGTTTATTTTATATCCCATATTTTATTCCAAGCTGCTCAAGGTGCCCCTTATAGTTCTCCTTCCCGCTTTATGCTCAAAACAACCCTGTGAGGTAGGTTAGGCTGAGAGTGAAGTGGCTGACTCTAGGACACCCAGTGAGCTTCATGGCTAAGTGCAGATTTGAAATTTGATTTCCCAGACCCCTAGTTCAACACTCTAACCACACCACCACACTTTCATTTTGAATTGTAGTGTGGGGTATGGATTTTGTTTATCACTGTAGGGGTGGCAGCTCTGGTAACTTATTTATTGGTAGTATTACCTTGATTGTGTTGTGACTCTTTCTTTTGAAATATGCAAACCTCAGTAAAGAACTAATTTTTTAAAATGTTGTGCACATCAACCTCCCCCGACCCTGGTGCCCTCCAGATGATTTAAAGAACAATTCTCATTATCCTCAAAAGAACATGACTGTACACCAGGTTGCAGAAATCTGGTGTACCAGGGGGTGAAGATGCTATCCTGTATACTACTGTGTATTATTTAGTCATTTGCCTATTATATTTATATCCCAGCTTTCACTCAAGTTGGGATTCAACATTTTGAAGCAGCATTATAAAATACAAAGTCATAAAAACAAACTAGTTAGGAACAATAGTTTACAATACATCAGAACACATTTGGAACCAGTAATTGAAATCCTGTTTGTCTTGACAGCAGCCCAGTGGTCAGCATCGCCTGTACCTTAAGTTCCCAAAGGCCTGTCTGAACAGGAAGGCCTTAGCCTGCTGGTGGAAGGATAACAAGGAGGGGGCTCATATAACCTCTCTTGGGAGGGAATCCTATCTAGGGGAGCAGCCACAGAAGGGGCTCTCTCTCCTGTCACCACCTAATGGGCTTCTGGTGTTGATGGGACAGAGAGAAGACAGTTTTTGCCAAGGTGCATTTCAGATCTTTTGGATGACAACGACCATGTTGGCTGGAGCTGATGGGAGTTGTAGTCCCAAATACCTGGAGGGCATCCATTTGGCTAAAGCTGCATAGCATCTTCTAGTATGTGACCTCATGTAGGTAAAACAGCACCACCTACCCACAACAGGCTTGGAAGAGCTTGAAGTTTTTCAAAAGTTTAAAACTAACTTTTTTGGGGGGGAGTGATTGGACCCAGAGAGGGCAAAACAGCTCACTTAGGGTGAAATGTACACACTGAGCAAGGAATAATGACTGGCTTCTGAGAAGCAGTGAGGAGAAAATTTGGTGGTGGAAGGCAGTATCCTGGAAGAGAGGCTGTCTGGCAGAGTCCATACTGCAGCAGTTTGTTTCACTCTTGTATGAATAATAAGATTGGGGTATTCACAGTATTTTGCACATACGCCCTCAATAATCCATAGAACAGCCCAGCAAGGTTACCCAGCCTTGTTTTATCCCCATGTTGTAGATGGAGAGGCTGAGAGTGACTTCCCTGAGACTCTCTGACTGAGTTCATAGCCCAGGGTTACCCTGGTTCCCGGCTCATCCTAGTAGCTGCTACAGCATTTATGCATGTTTGTTCAATGGTGTTTACTCCTGGGTAAGTGTAGTGGAAATGCGGAAGACAATTGTATTTTGAGGAGTTAGGTGGCATGTCCCTTTCCCTTTAACACCCCCAGTTTGAGGTCTGCTGGATTCTTGTGTTTCACACACCTGTCGGGAGTTTATTGGGTTCTTCTGTGTTGCAAGTGCTGGCTGGATGCCCAGCTGCAGGTAGTGGGAGACTCTCAGCCGCTTTGTATTAGTTCCATCTCAGGGTCCTGGGCTAATCATGGGTAATGCCAGATGCACTTGATTACATCAAGGCAGGCTATAAAAGCCATAGGTGGGAGGGGACCAGAGAGCTTCTACACAGATCAAAGGACCTGATGCTGGGAGACCGACGGTCGGGGTCTTTCTCCTGCTGCTCTACCTGGGGCTCTGGGCAGCTGAAGGGGAGATTGGGTATGTTTTATGTTATGCTTTGCATGCCTGCTGTTTATTAGTTAATAAAACTGTTTTGGTTCCTCTTCCACCTCCTCATTCCTTTTGTCCTCATAACCTTGGAAAGAACTCTAGAGAATAATTTATTGCTCAGAGAGATAAGGTCCGGCGTACTTCTGTTGCGCAGCACACATTCCAAAAGCTATGAGAAAAAGCAGAGTCTCACAGCAGTCAGAAATAAAGCCTTCTGTCTTCTGTGCATCAATGTGCATAAATCAGGCTCTCACGCAGAGCTACTAAAACTAAAAGCACTTTATTTGCAGCAAAAACTATCCATTATCCAGCAGAGTACAGAACATCATACAAACGTGTCTGCCCCGGGCGAAAACGAAAGCAGAACAGAACAAAGAATTGAGACTGTTGGAAGTGACGCAGAGTCTCTCCGCCCCACAGTAGGCAGGACGCACACTCTAAGCTGTTTAACCCTGCAAGCTCAGGTTCTCCTCACCCCCCCTCTCGTCCTGCACTACTGGGGGCAAGCAAGTATCACCACTTATCCCAACTCCAAACCACCACAGAACTCCCCATGACGCTGGAAGCTCAATGGTTTAGTGAAACCATCAGCCAAGTTATCGTGGCTGGCACAATATTTGAGCCCTATCAAACCTGACTGGACACTTTGACACACATTCTGGAAACGTATGTCTAGATGCTTGGTTCTGGCCTTAAACTGTCCAGATTCTGCTAGCTTCAGACAGGGTTGATTGTCTCCTCAAACAGTGATGGGCAAGCTACAATCCCCACAGATCTCTTGCACCAAGCATCTATAGAACTCCAGTTCCCGGCACAAATCTGACAGTGTGCTGAACTCAGCCTCAGTAGAGGATAGCGCAACGAGACTTTGCTTCCGGGACTTCCACCCAATAAGAGATTTCCCGAACTTTATTACTATCCCAGATACGGACTTCCTGTCATCCAGATCCGCCCAGTCTCTGTCTGCCCAGCATGTGAGCTTCGTCTCATCTGCAGCTGACAGTTTGAGACTGAAGTCCTTGGTATCCTGCAGGTAATGCAGTACCCGCTTGATACCATGCCAGGCATTTAAACTGGGTTTTGTAACTTCCCTACTGAGCAGATTGGTAGCAAAAGCAACATCCGGTCTGCTCCATTGGGACAGATACAACAGACTACCCAGAGCTGACTGAAAGAGCTCAGCGTTCTCGAACTCAGCGCGTTCTGCTTGCTGACTGTCTTTCACGTAGCTCGTCTCCATGGGTGTCCTAACCCCTGCACAGACATTCTGAACTTCTCAAGCAACTGCTCAGTCTTGTCTTTCTGACTGAGCAAGAAGCTACCATCCTCAGTTCTAGCTATTTCCACGCCCAGGTAGATCTTTACTGCACCCAGGTTCTTGAGCTGAAACCGTTTCCCAAGCTCTTTGGCAAACTTCTGTACCTGTTTGTCTGCCCTTGTGGTGTAAATTATGTCATCAGCGAAGATTAACACCATTTCCTGTGACTCTCCTGACCCTTTAAGGTACAGGCAACTGTCAGCAAGACTCTTCTTGAAACCTAGCTTCTCTAATTCTAAGCAGAATTCTGGACTGATCCCCTGATGGATAGGCAAATCTCCACCCCTTGGTCCCTGGCTCATACCCACAGAAAATCATCTTTTGGGACCTAGGGCCACCCTTTCTGCATTTGGCCTTTGGTATAAGGACCCAAGCCTCACAGCCAAAAACACGGAAGAAATGCACCTCGGGCTTCTTGCTGTGCAGCAGAAAATAGGGTGTGTCCCCTACCACTGAATTAAACGACCTGTTCAAGGTAAAGTTGGCCGTCCGCCAAGACTGTGGACATCTCCTGCAGCATTCTGTTCCGGCGTTCCGGCGTTCTGGAACGCCATTCTGTTGGGGACTGTGTGGAACTGTCAACCTGTGTTGAATTCCCTTCTGGTGGAAGAAACTTTGCAGCGCAGACCCGGTGAATTCTCCGCCCCGGTCACTCTGAAAATTCTGCAGTTGCATGGAAAACTGCAGTTCCACTGCCGCAATAAGTCTCTGATTAGTGGCACAGCCTCACTCTTGTGTTTAAGCATGAACAGCCACCACCCATTCCTCGAAAAATCATCTATCAGACCAATGCAAATTTGGCCCTACCCAGACTGGCTACTGACATAGGGCCACACAAATCTGCATGCACCAGCTGAAACGGCCTAGTGGTCATCCTTTCAGACCTTGTGTATGTGCACGTTTTCACCTTTGCGTGCTTACACGCTCTGCACTCAAGAAACCTAGCACATGACTTCATTTTGCACCCCTCAGTGCATTCTGGGATCTTCTTCATGTAACCCCATGACACGTGAGCCATACGTCTGTGCCAGAGATGAGCACACGCATCATGGACTCGAACATTGGCACATTGCACTTGAGCTGCCTCCGTGGTATCTGGACCTGCAAGAGAAGCTTTTAGCACAAACAGCCTATCTTTACATTCCACACTGACTAGTTGTTGCCCATCCCTGGAAATAGAACACGTTATTCTCAAAACAGACTCTATAATTGTCAGCAACAAGAGCAGTGACAGATAGCAATGCACAGGACAGTCCAGGAACAACAAACACCGGTATCAAATCCTGTAAGAAAGAACAAAACAGTGAGCCAGTCTGAGTCAAAGCACGCTTAGTCCCATCTGCCAAACAAACAGATTTCCCAGAGACTACAGAGGTGCAATCCCTCAGAAAACCACCAGAGGGCATGAGATGATGGGAAGCTCCACTGTCAATCACGAAGGTCAGCACAGCGTCCTGTTTACAGCTCTTGACTGTTGCCATAGAAGCCGCCAAATGTTTATGTTCAGGGCAATCTATGCCAGCTGCCTTTGGCTTTTGCTTCCCACGTTTTGAAGAGCTCCTAATCTGGTTGCTCCGGGAGATGACCTTGGGCCCTTCCTGTGCCTCCACCAGGCAGTCTCTCACGAGATGGGAGGGGGAGCCACATCTATAACAGCGTCTCGAGGCAAATGCTCTCACAGTGTCCCCTCCAGCCATTCCTGCATTCCCTGCACCCCCACATTTGGGTGCACAGCCTGGGCCTGCATGCTCCCCAGCACTCTGGTTTCGAGCCTCTGCATCACGTGGCCTCCCAGAGACAAAGCAGCAACTCCCAGCTGTAACTTCAGGAATGTGGCCTTCAGCCCCCACCAGGCCCTCGGCTCCTGGTGAGCTTTCACACAGACTCTTCAGCGCCTGCCAGACGCCCTGGGCTGTCTTAAGACCCTCCAGGGGGGGTAACAGCAAAGCATCCACACTTGCTCTCAGCATGCAGAGCTCTCTCTGCACTCTCTCCCTCTGCAGAGCAGCCTCCATGTCTGCTGCACCAGCTCCAGCAGCAGCTTGCATGGGTGGGGCCAGCTTCTTCTGGAAAGAACTCCAGAGCCCTGTGGCCAAAACAACCCCCTTGCTCTTCTGGACCAGATTTCCCAGTTCTGGCCAGTGAGCTTCTCAAACAGGACATCAAAAGATTCCTGGAGCTCTGCCATCTCCTCCCCCGGTCCTCCCTTGGGGCTCAGAAGTACTCATGCGTACCAGCCGTCTTCCGAGGAGAGGCCTCCAGCAACTCTTTGCAGCACACAGCTTGCAGCCAGCGAGACTCCCTGCTTCCCTCCAGGCAGGGTCTCAGAGCTGGGCTTTCTTCTTCAGCAGCCAGCAGCTTTACAGCACATAAAAGCAGGCTTTTTCTGACAGTGTAAAAGCTTCGGCTTCCATAACCTCTGAGAATAATTTATTGCTCAGAGAGTTAAGGTCCGGCGTGCTTCTGTTGCGCAGCACACATTCCAAAAGCTCTGAGCAAAAGCAGAGTCTCACAGCGGTCAAAAATAAAGCCTTCTGTTTTCTGTGCATCAATATGCATAAATCAGGCTCTCACGCAGAGTTACTGACAGACTCTGGGGTTGCAGTGCTCATCTCCCTTTATTGGCCGAGGGAGCATGACTAAGCCGCTTCTGGCGAACCAGAGCAGCGCACGGAAACGCCGTTTACCTTCCCGCCAGAGAGGTACCTATTTATCTATTTGCACTTTGACGTGCTTTCGAACTGCTAGTTTGGCAGGAATTTACAGCGTAAACTATCCATTATCCAGCAGAGTATGGAACATTGTACAAACGTGTCTGCCCTGGACGAAAACGAAAACAGAACAGAACAAAGAACTGAGACTCTCGGAAGTGACGCAGAGTCTCTCCGCCCCACAGTAGGCAGGATGCACACTCTGAGCTGTTTAATCCTGTAAGCTCAGGTTCTCCTCACAAGAACTGCTGTATTTGGCAGCACAGTAAGTGCTTAAAGAGACACGCTCCATCTTCTGCTCCACATGGAACAGCAGCCTTGCTGAGATCCGTTTTGCTTATTTCTCCATGCCAGGTATGCCCTTCTCCCACCTGGGGACAGTCCCTGTGCCCATGTGGGGCAAAACTCCTTGTACCTAACTCCTGCAGAGCCAGGCAGCAGGAAAGGGAAAGTCATCTGTTGCGTTCTGAAGGTAAAGGAAGGACTGGACCCTGATTAATAAAATAGACACGCGGCTTGACCAGAAAGACTCTGGGAGAAAAGTGTGCGAGACTTCCGGGTTGGCGCCTCTGGCAATGGCGGATTTCCTCCGATCGGGAGGAATCCGCTCCGTGGAAAACAGGGTCTGAACCGCCACGGCGAGGCGGAGACCCATTAAAAACCACAGGCAGGAGAAGCCTGTGGACGTGGGATTCGGCTGGCACCTTTGCGCCTCCCCTACTCGCGGGGAAACCCTGTTTTGGGGATCCGGAGCGACGTGGGGTGAGTGGCGCGGTGCTTTGAATCGACTGCTTCTTTCATGGAGTGAAGCTGCATTGCTGTTGCCGGAGAGCGCTGACTTTTTCCTGTGGACAATTGGACCTTAAAAAACTACTTGTGAGTAAAACGGAAAATTGGATTCTTAAATACTTTAATTCGGCATTGAAACGGGAAGGTTATAAACAGGAATTCCGCCTCCCGTTTTTGTAAATAGATTGAAGCAAAGACGTTACAAGTTAAAGCCTTTGAAAGCTTTTGGCAAAGGATTAAATTTCCGCCGGTTTAAAATACAAAACCCCCCTTGGAAGCAGGAGAAGAGGGGGAAATTTTGGATCTAGTGAGCCTGCAGGAGAGAGTGAAAAAATCAAATTACCACTGCTCTGAACCTGGGAACGGGCTGCCAGATGACGTTTGGAGAGAGTGCTTTTGACAGAACGGATTTGACAGCTAGCTAAATAAGAGTAAGATACTGTTTCCATTGTCCTTTTCTGCGTTTAAAAAGAGGAAAAGTAACTGAAAATTTATCTTTAATGCTTGAGTTGCGCTTGAAAGAACTGATACAAGTGGAGACTGTTTCCCTCTAGAGGGAGCTTTTGAAACTGTTACAGGAGTATAACTGGGGGATTTCCAGTTGCAGATAAGGATTCTTGAGAACCAGAGAGTGACCTTGGACGATTTAAAAATGTTGACAGGAGAGGCCATTGTGACTGTTTTATGCAAGATAAGCTGTTCGCTGGGACAGCTTCACAAGAAGATGGATGATATGACTTTCAAAGTTGATACTTTGGAACAGAAAGTGACCAACTTGAGTCAAAAAGCGAACACCAACACAGAAATAATTCAGGACTTGGTACAGGAACCCATTTTGGCAGGACAAATGGTGGAGGAGAAGGAGGAGAAGGAGAATGCTGCTGTTGTTGAACATAAAATAATACAAGTGAGATCTGTGGTTTTACAGAAGCAAATTGAGGACTATAAGTTGAGGCCTTCTATGATTGAATCTAGGAAAAGTCAGACTCTGAGGAATGGATCCCGGCTTGGATTAAAGGAGGAAAGTTGGAAAGAGCCCTCTATGCAGGGATTAACTGACTTTTGGGACATGGACTCGGGCCTGGAGGAGATTGAAGTTTTGGGGGCCTTTGGAATTGGAGGAATTTTGAAATATACCCGGAAATACTTTATGGACTGTAGCTTTAACTATGGAAATTTAGCTGATCTGTTCAGAAGGAAGAAAAGGATTGACAGGCTGGAGTTTCCCCAAGATTTGCTCTTTAGCATTAAAGAAAATGAAGAAGACCTGCAGAAGGGACTTGGGAAAGAGTTAAGAGCCTCGGACATAAGATCACCAGGTTGACTGACTTTATGGAATTGACGGAAAGGACTGGCAGAATCCGAAACCTGGGAGAGGAGATGGTGGAAGAAGACTGGAAAAATTAAAGTTTATATATAGACTTATGGTAAAACTAATGAGTGATAGAAAAATGGTGGAATGATTTTTATTTTTTATGGGCTTAACAGAAATGTTATAAGGAGTTAAGCACATATAAGTATTTTAGTTTTAATGGAAAATAAGGTTAAAAAATACGTTATTTACAATATCACAGAAAATAGAGAAAGATGGAAAGGATTTGCTGAAACAATTACAGTGGTGCCTCGCAAGACGAAAAGAATACGTTCCGGGAGTCTCTTCGTCTTGCGGTTTTTTTCGTCTTGCGAAGCAAGCCCATTAGCGGTTTAGCGGATTAGCGCTATTAGCGGCTTAGCGGGCTTAGCAGATCAGCTGATAAGCGGCTTAGTGGCTTAACGGATCAGCTGTTAAGCGTCTTAGCGGATCAGCTGATAAGCGGCTTAGTGGCTTAAGGGATCAGCTGTTAAGCGGCTTAGCGGATCAGCTGATAAGCGGCTTAGTGGCTTAACGGATCAGCTGTTAAGCGGCTTAGCGGATCAGCTGATAAGCGGCTTAGTGGCTTAGCAGATCAGCTGTTAAGCGGCTTAGCGGATCAGCTGATAAGCGGCTTAGGGATCAGCTGTTAAGCGGCTTAGTGGATCAGCTGATAAGCGGCTTAGTGGCTTGGGAAAAAGGGGGGGGGAAGGAAAAAAACACCGCAGGAACTCGCAAGACATTTTCGTCTTGCGAAGCAAGCCCATAGGAAATTCGTTTTGCGAAGCACCTCCAAAACGGAAAACCCTTTCGTCTAGCGGGTTTTCGTCTTGCGGGGCACCACTGTAATAGAAGTGGAATACAAAAAGGGAGGTGTGAGGAGGTCGAGGAAACAAGGGAATGAAAGATAGAGTATGGAAAAGAGACGATGTATGTTTTTAAATTGTTTTTGTTTTGTTCTATTTAGAGTTAAGGTTAGGGAGTGGGGTTTGTTTAGTTTAGTTTAATGTGTTTAGTTTTGAGTTTAGGTTGTGTTTTGTATTGTTTATATATTGTATTGTATTGTTTTTTTCTTTTTGTTTTTCTCCTTTGTTTTTTCTTTTGTTTTTTTTTCTTTTTTGCTTTTTCTCTCTCTTTTTGTAATCTATAAAAGTAATAAATATTATTTTTTTTAAAAAAGAAAAGAAAAGTGTGCAATGCCACTCCCTGGCCCAGGCCGTTTTTATTCACAAAAGAACTTTAACACAGCGTTTGTAACAACCAATCAGATTTCCTCTGAGCATTTCAAAAAATCCCATGTGGGGACAAAGTGAGATCAGAGGAAGCCTCTTAACTACAAAGAACTATTTACTATTTGAGCATGCATACATGTTTAGGCTAAATAAAACAGGAACCAAAGAGGAATGCATTTAGCAAACCCCGGAGGTCATAAACCTATAGGAAAGGAAATACAGGCATTTTACCACCTCCATGTAAACTCTGTTCCTGGCCCTAAAAGCTACCTAAAGATTACCAAAAGCTACATCAAAGCTACCGCCTTTTCTTTATGTACTCAGGATGCCTGGTGAACAACTAGTCTGTGCTATGTGACTACCAGGCATAGAGAAAATGGGCAGAGGTGCAGAGGCTTGTGGGATTGATCAGAAATCATGTCAAATGACTCAAGCCCAGTCACAGGGATTTGAACCGCTGACCTTCTGATGCGCAAGTACTAGGCTCTGTAGTTTAACCCACAACGCCACCCGCATCCCTTACCTGACAGCAATTGCAGAGAGTGCTGCTGCTTTTAGGTCCTGCTTGTGGGCTTTGCATTGGGGCATCTGGCTGGCCTCTGAGCAGGGGCAGACTTTGGTAATCTTTGGTAAACTGGTGCACTGAGTTATGACAAAATTTGGCACACTGAAATGGACCATCTCAATTTTGCTCTCCCTCTTTTGGCGCCCTATGTATGGGAAGCACCCACATTGCCCGAAATCAGGCGCTGCTGTGAGAACAGGATGCTGGACTAGATGAGCCCCCTTTGGCTTGATCCCACTACCAGGCTCTTACGTGTCTTTCTGGCTCCCAGATGCACACTGTTGGACGGCACCTGCCTGGCGGGGTCTCTTGCCGCGGTATGAGCATGCCACCTTCATTCCCACAAGCTGGCCCACGAGCCTCTGGGTGTTTGGAGGAGCCAGTGAAACTGGGAACAGTAATTGTGTGCAAGCTCTGGACCTCCGTATCAGTTATTTCCGTTTCATTTTATTACTTCTTGGAGTATTTTTGAAAAAAGATTTCAAACATGCAGCTGTCCAATTTCTAAATTTATTCATATCCAATATTTGCATCCCACTATCCCACCAAGGAGCTCAGAGCAGCAAATATAGCTCTCCTGAGAATAGTTATCCTCACAACAACCCATTGAGGTAGGTTAAGCTAGGAGAGAGTGATTGGTCCAAGTTCACTTGGCCTTAGTCAAGGGGTTGAATCCTAGTTTCTCAGGACTTAGTCCAACAATCTTACCACTACACCACACTGGCTATCTGTTAGATGATGAAAATAACAATAAAACTTATTTCAGAGTGGTAGCTGGGTTAGCGTACTGCAGCAAAAACAACAGTGTCTTGTGTCACCGTCTATATCTAATAAATTTATTATGGCATCAGCTTTTGCACACTACAATCTGGCTTCTTTAGATGCATGAAGTATTATCCTGAGTTACTGCACTAGTGGGTCAGAAGGTGGAATTGTGAGATCAGAAGGAAATATGTAGAGATGGTGATACTTGTGTTTTAACAGTGGCCATTGACATACACACAAAATAGTTGTTTATAACATCCAAGCCATCGGTCAGAAAACTGGCACATGTAATTTGATTTAAAGCCCCAAAATGTTTCAATTCAGTCCCTACCTTATAGCACTAAATCTCTTGAGGAAGTACAGTTCAGTAGTTTCAAGTTCTAGTTTCTCTTTGACGTTACTTTGAATCAAAGTACCACTAAATTAGCCTTGCATTTAAGCACTCGCCTGGTAACCAAAGGGGACTAGGAATTCCATTTCTTTCTTCCACATGTGACGTGTAATTGGCACCCACCCCCATTTTCTGTGCTTATAATTTACTTGTGTGCAATCCCCAATTTTTCAATATTGTAGCTTACAAATATTTTTGTTTTCCACGTTAGAAGGTGGAACTTGGATGAGCCCTAAGGTGATCGGCACTCCACCATCCCTTCGGACTTATCATACATCCTCAGCAGTGATTGGGGACCATTTATATGTATTTGGAGGAGGCAATAAAGGGGTGGATCCAGTCAAAGACCAGCAGCTTCACATCTTTGACTCTGGTAAGCTTCCTCTGCTCCTGTGCAGATGTTTCCCAAACTAAATGTTTAGCTGATTCCCCTGGGCCTGACAGCAGATGGAGCAAAGTAGGAGTTAAATCCTGTTAGCCCTACTTAGAGAAAAACCGTCGAAATGGATAGACATGACAATGTAGGCCTTTTAATTGCAATGGGTCTACTCTTAGGTGAAACATAGCTAAATGCAACCCTATGTGTGGGAAGCAGGGAGCAAGGACCCTGAGGTAGCTGTTGCTTCATCTTAATACATTTCTCTCTCGCCACCTGTAGCCACTCTGACATGGCTGCAACCAGAAGTTTGGGGCGACCCTCCTGCTCCTCGACATGGCCATGCCATGGTGGCTGTCGAGAACAGGCTCTACATACATGGCGGATTGGCAGGTGATACCCTTTTTGATTATCTCTTCTGCTTTGATACAAATAAGTACTCAGTGGTGCAAACTTTGTGGAAAGGGATTCTTATCTTCCCATCTTGCCTTAAAAAAACCCAAAGCCATAAAACTTTAGCTTTTAGAAGCTACACATTATAAAGCAGGGGTCAGCAATTTTTTTCAGCAGGGGGCTGGTCCACTGTCCCTCAGACCTTGTGGGGGGCCAGACTATATTTTGAATTTTTTAAAAAAATGAACTAATTCCTGTGCCCCACAAATAACCCAGAGATGCATTTTAAATAAAAGCACACATTCCACTCATGTAAAAACACCAGGCAGGCCCCACAAATAACCCATAGATGCATTTTAAATAAAAGGACACATTCTACTCATGTAAAAACATGCTGATTCCCGGACCATCTGTCGGCCAGATTTAGAAGGCGACTGGGCCTTAGTTTGCCTACCCATGTTATAAAGCCTTAAAGGCTAAGAATGTGAGAAATACTGTAGGATCCTGATTACAGTTTCCACCTGCAGGCTGTTACTACAGAATTGTGGTACAGCCTTAGGAGGTGGTGTGGGGTAGTGGGTAGCGTTTGACAAGATCCAGGAAGACGAGGAATCAGATTCCCACTCAGATCTCACTGGGTGACCTTAGGTTAGGCACAATCTCTCAGTCTAACCTACTGTGCAGGGTTGTGAGGATACAAGGGAGGAAAGGGGAGGATAACCATGTATGCTGCCATAAGTTCCTTTATGGAAAGGAAGACATTAATGAGAAAAATAAATTCTAAATTCCATTCAGCCTTCCTTTGATTCCTCTTTTTCAGGCATTTCCCATCTGTTTAAGCCACCCCCCCCCAATAATCTTTGCTGTCATTACAGCTAGAATCTTAACTTTGACGTAACTGTCCCAAACTCTTTACCAAATTCATTTTCCTGTTGCAGAATCACTGAATGTGCATGCAGCCCTGTTATGTGTGTTTCAAGCTCAGTTTGCTTAAGCTTTGCACCTGATGAGCACTGATGTGGATTGATTTAATGTGCTTGCAGCTGAAATGAAGTGGGAGACCCTGTCGGCTACTGGATCTGTACCAGCAGGGCGGGCAGCCCACTCAGCAGCTGTGTTTCAGGTCCATTTGTATATATTTGGTAGAATGGACCCAACAGGAGCACTGGACACAATGTGTAAATATCACATAAGTGGGTGTTTCTTATGATGATGTCTTTGGTTAGCTTCCATTGGGAACATTATACTGGGGAATCCTCTTTGCGTATGTGCCATCGCCAGCAATTTTGAGATGGCAGCCCCAGCCATGTAACCTCCCCACAACCTTGACTTATCTGAAGCTAGTAGTGGCTGAAGCTGATGGGAGCTGTAATCCAAAACAAAGTGCTTATGTGGCCTCTGATTATGTAGTGTGACTCCCCCCAGGATTATAAACACTGTCACCACATACTAAAGGGAGTGGGAGTAGTAGATCAGAGGTAGAGCTCATCTGTTGCATGAAAAAGGTCCCAGTATCAGTCCCTTGAGTCTGCAGTTTTTAACAAGATGGAGAGGGAGGAGCATCAGGGAACAGGTGATACTGAAACAGATCTTTTTGCAACCCTGGGAAATTGTGGTCAATTCAGAGTAGGCACACCTGGGCTACGTGTGCAAAAAGGTTGATATGGAATAACGCAGCTTCAAGTTTATCAAGAGCATCTATAGCTCAGTGAAAGAGCAGGTGTTTTGCATGCAGAAAGGTCCCAGGTTTAATCCCAAATATTATCCAGTTAAAAGGATCTTTTGCAGCAGGTGATAGGAATGCTGTCCAGAGTTGTAAAGACTGCACAGAGAATAATTGGGTGCACTCTTCCCACCTTGGATCAAATCTATGCTTCCAGGTGCCATAAGAAAACTGCAGAGATAGTGCAGGATAGTGCACACCCCGGAAATGATCTCTTTCAGCTTCTGCCTTCTGGAAGAAGGTACAGTGGTACCCCGCAAGACGAACGCCTCGCAAGACGGAAAACCCGCTAGACGAAAGGGTTTTCCGTTTTGGAGGCGCTTCGCAAAACGAATTTCCCTATGGGCTTGCTTCGCAAGACGACAGCCCATAGGGAAATCTCAGGGACAGCGGGGAAGCGCAGCGCGTCTTCCCCACTGTCCTCGGACCTCCTCCGAAGCCTGGCGGCGGAGCTGGGACACTCCTCCCGCCGCCGCCGGGCTCGGAAGGCTCCTCCGAGCCGGGCGGGGAGGGAACACCTGCCGCCGCCGCCCGGCTCGGAACGGTGCTCCGAGCCGGGCGGGGGAGGGAACACCTGCCGCCGCCGCCCGGCTCGGAACGGTGCTCCGGCCGGGCGGGGAGGGAAGACCTCCCCGCCGCCCGGCTTCGGAACGGTGCTCCGAGCCGGGCGGGGGGAGGGAAGACCTCCGCCGCCCGGCCTCGGAACGGTGCTCCGGCCGGGCGGTGGGAGGAAGACCTCCCCGCCGCCCGGCTCGGAACGGTGCTCCGGGCCGGGCGGGGGGAGGGAACACCTGCCGCCGCCGCCCGGCTCGGAACGGTGCTCCGAGCCGGGCGGGGGAGGGAAGACCTCCCCGCCGCCCGGCTCGGAACGGTGCTCCGGGCCGGGCGGTGGGAGGGAAGACCTCCCCGCCGCCCGGCCTCGGAACGGTGCCCGAGCCGGGCGGGGGAGGGAACACCTGCCGCCGCCGCCCGGCTCGGAACGGTGCTCCGAGCCGGGCGGGGGGAGGGAAGACCTCCCCGCCGCCCGGCCGGAACGGTGCTCCGAGCCGGGCGGTGGGGAGGGAAGACCTCCCCGCCGCCCGGCTCGGAACGGTGCTCCGGCCGGGCGGGGGAGGGAACACCTGCCGCCGCCGCCCGGCCTCGGAACGGTGCTCCGAGCCGGGCGGGGGGAGGAAGACCTCCCGCCGCCCGGCCGGGAACGGTGCCCGGCCGGGCGGTGGGAGGGAAGACCTCCCCGCCGCCCGGCTCCGGAACGGTGCTCCGGGCCGGGCGGGGGAGGGAACACCAGCCGCCGCCGCCCGGCTCGGAACGGTGCTCCGGCCGGGCGGGGGAGGAAGACCTCCCCGCCGCCCGGCCTCGGAACGGTGCTCCGGGCCGGGCGGTGGGGAGGGAAGACCTCCCCCGCCGCCCGGCCTGGAACGGTGCTCCGGCCGGGCGGGGAGGGAACACTGCCGCCGCCGCCCGGCTCGGGAACGGTGCCCGGCCGGGCGGGGAGGGAAGACCTCCCCGCCGCCCGGCTCGGAACGGTGCTCCGAGCCGGGCGGGGGAGGGAAGACCTCCCCGCCGCCCGGCTTCGGAACGGTGCTCCGGGCCGGGCGGGGGAGGGAAGACCTTCTGAAGGCGGGCGGGGGCGAAAGTCTTTGCTCCCCTGCCTGCCTGTCCCGGAGGGCTTTGAAGGCGGGGAGCAAAGACTTGCGCCCCGCCCGCCTTCAGAAGAGGTCCAGGACCTCTTCTGAAGGCTGGCGGGGGCAAAGTCTTTGTCCCCCTGCCTGCCTTCCCAGGGGCTTTAAGTTGCCCCGGACAGCGGAGAAGTCCTCCGCTGTCCCGGGTGATTTTAAATGCCGCCCGCCAGCATTTTAAGATCGCCCGGACAGCGGAGAAGTCCTCCGCTGTCCCGGGTTTTTAAAATGCTGGGGGTGGGAAGAAAGCCCTTGCCCCCCCAGCCTTCAGAAGAGGTCCGGGACAGACTGTCCCCGGACCTGGTCTGAAGGCGGCTTCCTAGGAACGCATTAACTGATTTTCAATGCATTCCTATGGGAAACCGTGCATCGCAAGACGAAAAACTCGCAAGACGAAGAGACTTGCGGAACGAATTAATTTCGTCTTGCGAGGCACCACTGTACAGGGTTATAAAGACTAGGACTAGCCGCCTGAGAAACAGTTTCTATCCAAATGCAGTGTAAGGAGTCTCTATGGGAGTATATTGTATTTAAAAATGGGGTATCAGAGTTTTTAGGGGGCTAACCAGGCTGGTATAGCTGGCTTGTTGGTTTTAAATGTCTTGTGTAGATTTTTTCAATTTTGTTGTTCTGTATGAGACAATGACAATAAAGATTATCGTATCGAAAGGGTATTCTCTCTCTCCTCTCTCACTAGCAGAAACCTTGAGGAGCTGCTTTCAGTCAGTATTAGGCAGCAGTGGGCTAGGTCAGGAATAATAGTACGTAATTTATTATTTTTACCCAACCCATCTGAACTTGTGGCTCTGCAATATGTTGCTGAATCCCCACCCTTGGCCATGCTGGTTGGAAGTTAGGAATCCAACAGCATCTGGCAGGCCACGAGTTTCTTACTCCTGGTCTAGATGGGAATAGTTTAAAAGGTGCCCAAGAGCCGCTCAGTGTTTCAGTGTTCCACTACACCCACAAGAACCCTTCTGGTCTAAATACAGTGGTACCTCACAAGACGAATGCCTCGCAAGACAAAAAACTCGCTAGACGAAAGGGTTTTTTGAGCTGCTTCGCAAGACGGTTTTCCCTATGGGCTTGCTTCGCAAGACTAAAACGTCTTGCAAGTTTGTTTCCTTTTTCTTAACACCGTTAATACAGTTGCGACTTGACTTCGAGGAGCAACTCATAGAACGCAGTGTGGTAGCCTTTTTTGAGGTTTTTAAAGACTTTGGTGATTTTTGAAGCTTTTCCAAAACTTTCCCGACACCGTGCTTCGCAAGACGAAAAAAATCGCAAGACGACTAAACTCGCGGAACGAATTAATTTCGTCTTGCAAGGCACCACTGTAGTCCCATACTGTTCTCAGTCAGGAGCCTGCAAGCAGGAATTGTGCGAAACTGCAGTCTCCCCTTTTTGATTCCCAACAACTGGTTTGCTATATCCTCCATGAATCTATCTGTCAACATCGCCCTTGAGCCAGTGCCACCAACTGGACTCATCCACTTCAGCCCCGACTGGGCTAGGCGAGCTGGGTAGCACTTCCAGAGACCACCTTCTGCACAGGAACAGGTCAAAGTGCTGTGGACTCACAGCTTAGAGTTGTGAGCACCGGACTTACTTCCACAAGAAGACAGTCGTCGCACAGCAGAGTACAGCAGAGTCTAGCAGAGTATATAAACAACTCGGAGAGCAGCTCTGTAGAATATCTTCTTTATTCTATCTACAACTATTATACAACTATATACAGAGCTTAATAGGTCTAAGCATAAATAAATGCTGCACTGCACTGAGTGTCTGCAGCTGCTCTTAGCAGCAACCTTATCTCTACACACAATCTCTAACACTCAGTCTCTCTCTCCCCGACACTGACTGACTGACTGATTTGGTGCTGGAGCAGAATAAGTAGAGAGCAGAACACGCCTCCTCCTCTCTGGAGAATCAGCAGACTTCTCAGGAGATTCTTGGATATGGGAGGGGTGAAATCTCCTCACTATCTTTGCTGCTTTTAAAACCACACAAGCTGTCAGTAGTCACTGTTCCCATGTATGTCACTTAAAATGTTAAGAGGGAAAAGAGATCCCCAATATTTCCACTCCCTGTAGAAGCTTCAGGTCCAATTTTCCAAGACTGACAAATAGTGGTTTTAATTGAAAAGAAGCTGCTGCAACCCCCCCTTTTTTTGCATAGTTTTCCATTTGTTTTTTTAACTGCAGAAAAGAGACATTGGACAAAGCTGGAGTTTAAAACTCCTGTGCCTTCTGCTCGTCTGGACCAGTCTATGTGTGTTGTTCCGTGGAAAGTGTCTTCCAATGAGGACAGCAACGGGAAGGAAGGAGCTGGAGGCTCTAATGGAGACAATCTATCTCAAGGCTGCCCAGATGAACACTTATGCTTAGTGTCTGGTGGAATGCATATTAAAGGGTAAATCTACAAAGACAGTACTGTAACTCTTCTTAAGTAAAATGTTTTAACTAAATGTAGCTGTTTAATAATCTATATCTGCCACCCTCCATGTAATGCAAGACAATCCACATTTTGTGCCGGAGGACTACAAATGAAGTGTGTGTGCATATTTCTGCCTCTTCAGTGTGTCCAATGGCTGAGAAAGGAAGGGAAGTGTTTAATAAAATACCAGTGAGTTGGCCTCCTTTAATGTAATCATTTCCTTAAATCAAATTTGGGTGGTTGACTGCTTCGTAGTACCATGGAAGTAAAATAAGACCCTCAGAAAATGAAATGTGTAGTTTCTACAGGTACTGAACCCCAAATGGTGCTCTCCTGCCAACAATGGGATGAATCAGGATGTGTTAGATGAAGCTAATAAGAATTAGTGCTGGAGGGTTCAGGATTGGACAATTTCCCATATAACAGATTTACTGCACTGAAACAGTTCAGTACAGATAGGAAAGTACCATTAACTCCTAAGGGCACACAGCTTTTGCCAACAATGGGCAGCAGATTGTAATTAAAACAGGTTATTGGCCAAGTGGTTTCATTGCATTAGCTTATGTTGACAAAAGAGCCAGACAGCTTGAATACTAAATAAGCAACACATCATGGGTCTGTTAGTTATGGTTAACTAAAATAGTAGATGGGCTGCATCTTGTGTGATCAAGCAAACAAACTGCAGAGTTGAGCAGCTGATAAAGTTAGGGATTAAGTTATCCAAAATCATCTCCCTTATGTGCTTGATCCAGCCCTTAGCTTCTCTCTTGTATATTTCTGGGCCTGAAATTACTTAAATTATTCAGAGATCCAGCTTGAGGTATTCTGACCTGGCACAATAATGCATACTTACTCTGAGCTCATTTACACATTTCTCATCTAGAAACAAAACATGTAAACATTAAGGACCACTAGATGACCCTGAGGGTATCTTTCAATTGTACAATTCTGATTCTAATGTTACAGTGGCTTGTCAAGTCATCACCCAATGGCCTGCTACCACCTAGCAGACATAGGTAAAGGTAAAGGGACCCCTGACCATTAGGTCCAGTCGTGACCGACTCTGGGGTTGTGGCACTCATCTCGCTTTATTGGCTGAGGGAGCCGGCGTACAGCTTCCGGGCCATGTGGCTAGCATGACTAAGCCGCTTCTGGCAAACCAGAGCAGTGCACGGAAACGCCGTTTACCTTCCCGCCAGAGCGATACCTATTTATCTACTTGCACTTTGACGTGCTTTTGAACTGCTAGGTTGGCAGGAGCAGGGACCGAGCAACGGGAGCTCAAACCCCGTCGCGGGGATTTGAACCGCCGACCTTCTGATCGGCAAGTCCTAGGCTCTGTGGTTTAACCCACAGCGCCTCCCGCATCTCCCTAGCAGACATGCATGGGAATAATTCGTTGTACAACTGTATTCTGCTCTGAGGAAGGTGGTTTCTGAGGGGGTTAGACCAAGAAACATGCAGACAAAACCATAGCTCTGGTCCTGGTGTGTTCTTAGTTCCTATAAGCATTTGTGTTACAAAGATCAAATAGACCCAGATCCAGTGTAAGTAACAAATTTATTGTTGTCACTTGGAGGGTAGAAAAGTTCTCCACATAACACACACAACCCAACTTGTTAAATAGAATGGTTTCAATACTTCACCCGTTCCCCTTGTCAGGTTGCCCACCCCCCTGCTGGACATTTATCAACTGCTAATGAAAAGCAGTATACAGCCACTTTTGGGCTAGCATTTCCAACTCCACTCAATGTGAAGATTCTGGTCACATTCCAAATCTAGAGTTCAAATAGTTTAAACAAAAGTTCAAAGTCCAATATTTACAGCACCAACATCTAGGAAACTGAGGTCTACAATTCATCCTTATCTCCTCCTGCTGCTTCTTCCTCAGTAGGGGGTGGGCCTGCACTACCATACAACCTGCCCACAATTGGTTGCACCACCTCTTCCAGTTCCTTCTTTTGGGCTTTGAATTCCTCGATATCACTATCTTGGTGACTCTCTAGCCACTCAATCTTTTCCTCTACAGCCTTCTCTATTGTTTCTTTGTCTTCAGATGACAACTTGCCACTGAGCTTCTCCTTATCTCCAATCTGGTTTTTCAGTGAGTAGGCATAACTTTCCAGCTCATTCCTAGCATCGATCCGCTCTTTCAGCTTTTGGTCTTCCTCAGCAAACTTCTCTGCATCATTGACCATCCTCTCAATTTCTTCTGGAGTAAGACGATTCTGGTCATTGGTGATAGTGATCTTATTTTTGTTGCCTGTGCCCTTGTCCTCAGCCGTAACACGAAGGATTCCATTCACATCTATTTCAAAGGTAACTTCAATCTGAGGGACGCCACGGGGAGCAGGAGGGATTCCAGTCAGATCGAAAGTTCCCAAGAGATGATTGTCCTTTGTAAGAGGACGTTCTCCTACGGGGGGGGGGGGGGGATTTCATTTCACATGAAATCACTCAGATTATACTCTGGTAATCATGCAAGTACAAGGTTATTTTTAAAAAGGCATCTCACTTGTGTTTCTATTAATAATCAACAGCTAGTGATACTCAAAGCATGTTAAGGAACCTCACAAATGTGGAAACATGCATTGCAAAATTAAGCCGTGCTGGATTCACCTTTTACTCTTTAATGCCCAGAAGACAAAATACTCTAAAAGTTTCCAAGCCAAATGATGTTGGTCGGCCACTTACCTTCATAAACCTTAATTGTCACAGTTGGCTGGTTATCTGAAGCTGTGGAGAAGATCTGTGATTTCTTGGTGGGGACAACAGTGTTCCTTGGGATAAGTTTGGTCATTACTCCACCAACAGTCTCAATGCCCAAGGTCAGAGGACACACATCAAGCAGCACCAGATCCCCTAAGAATGAAAAGGAGGTTTTAAGTGATGAAGCATCACCATAATTTATCTAGCTGTAGAGACAAACTTGACAGCCAGCAAAGACAAAGATCTTCCATTCCAAACAGTTATGAGGCTGACTGGAAGCTTTTCACTTGTACAGGCTACTCTGCCCAACACCTAATGCAGCATTTAAGTCACTCAGACTTACCAGTATCTTGATCCCCAGAGAGTACGCCAGCCTGCACAGCAGCACCATAAGCTACAGCTTCATCAGGGTTGATTCCACGGGAGGGTTCCTTGCCATTGAAAAATTCTTTCACAAGCTGCTGTATCTTGGGGATGCGAGTAGAGCCACCAACAAGCACAATTTCATCAATGTCAGACTTCTTTAGGTCTGCATCCTCTAGGACTTTCTGGACAGGTTTCATGGTGGAACGGAAGAGATCCTACGAGCAGAATTTAAAATCCCTTAATTGATGTGGAAAGGCAATCACAGAACAAGGCCACAAGATGATAGTCACCAAATTATCAGATACATCCTGCCCCCAAGATACCCATGTGTGATGATATTTGAGATCAGATGGGCCTACTCGTAACATCTCATTTGTCTTTAACAGAAGAATCCACAAAGATCAGTCACTGCTATCTTTTAGAGGACAAGCAATTTTGACTCAAGCCATTAGGGAACCAATTTATTCTCTGCTGTTGGTGCAGTTTGACCAGCATAGTGTCTTGGGAGTGGGATAACATTTCACACAGGAGGGCACCACTTTATTTTCCCCATGACACGCATGTACTACATGTTACTATAATTGGCCCAGTATACCTGAAGGAGCGTCTCCACCCCCATCATTCTGCCCGGACGCTGAGGTCCAGCGCCGAGGGCCTTCTGGTGGTTCCCTCATTGTGAGAAGCCAAGCTACAGGGAACCAGGCAGAGGGTCTTCTCGGTAGTGGCGCCCACCCTGTGGGACACCCTCCCATCAGATGTCAAAGAGATAAACAACTACCTAACATTTAAAAGACATCTAAACTTCCCTGTTCAGGGAAGTTTTTAATGTGCGACATTTGAATGTATTTTTAATCTTTGTTGGAAGCCGCCCAGAGTGGCTGGGGAAACCCAGCCAGATGGGCGGGGTACAAATAATAAACTTATTATTATTAATTAATTATTATTATTACTTCTCTCCCACTTTTATGTTTTGTGTACAGCAATCACTGCAATTACCCATTTAAAAATTCAAGATACCTACCATGTTCAGTTCTTCAAATTTTGCTCTTGTCAAGGTTTCAGAGAAGTCTTCTCCTTCAAAGAAAGATTCAATCTCAATTCTAGATTGGTGTTGAGAAGAAAGCGCTCTTTTGGCTTTTTCAACTTCTCGACGAAGCTTCTGAACAGCTCTGTTGTCCTTCCGAACATCCTTTCCAGTTTTCTTCTTGTAGAGCTTGATGAAATGTTCCATTACACGCTGGTCAAAGTCTTCCCCACCCAGGTGAGTGTCTCCATTGGTTGCCACAACTTCAAAGACACCATTATCAATTGTGAGGAGGGAGACATCAAAGGTTCCACCACCCAAGTCAAAGACAAGGATGTTCTTCTCGCCCTCCCTCTTGTCTAGGCCATAAGCAATAGCAGCAGCAGTCCTGTAAGAGCAACTCGTTAGTTTGGTAAATGTGAGAAAAGCCCACATAAATCCCAAATACTGGCAGAAGACTATTAAAACCCTACTTACGGCTCATTGATTATTCTCATGACATTCAGCCCTGCAATAGTACCAGCATCCTTTGTAGCCTGACGCTGGGCATCGTTGAAGTAAGCTGGCACAGTGACAACAGCATGGGTGACCTGGAGAAGAATGAGAATAATTTGGATTGCTGTTTCCAAATTAACATCTAATACAGTTTTGGGGGGGGGGGGGAGGGAGCCCGATTGTCTAGAATGCACCTTTCAAGACTACGTAGAGTGGATTGCCTGTTGCCCTCTAGATGCTGCTGGGCTCTCATCAGCCCCATCCAGCATTGTCAACTGTCAGGGATATTGGAAATTGGAATTCAAACAGATCCAGAAGGCTACAGATTGGCTGCCTCAGCTTGGAGAACAGTTCTACCACCCCCATCCATTTTATGTCCCAGGGAACCCAGAAGGCATGGACTCCTCATGTACAAGCAGCCAGGCCTGTTAGGAGGCATTAAAGCTCACTTAAACTGCATGCAGAATAGTACATGTTCAATCCAGTTTAGAATTATCTCTAGATCAGAAAGGCATCTGAGACCTGCTGCTAACTAGAGTAAGCAGTAAAGGATTAGACCAACCACTGGCCAGTCTCCATACATGGTAGATTCACAAAGGCTCCCCTCAGTGCCTATTCTTTTTGCTTGTGTGCTTCAGCTGAAACAACATCTTACCTTCTTTCCCAAGTAGGCCTCAGCAGTCTCCTTCATTTTAGTCAGAACCATTGCTGAAATTTCTTCTGGGGCAAAGGTCTTCATTTGGCCACCTCCAATATCAACCTGAATATGGGGCTTGGACTTCTTTTCAATGACCTGTAAAGACAGGTACAAGTGGACATGGTTAAAAACCAAAAGCACCACATCTACAATATTAATCTTGTGGGGGACTTAAAGAGGTTCCATTGAGGATGCGGCAGGACCAAACAACCTGCCCATCAGGTTGCCAGATGCAGAATAACCCATGCTTTGATGCTGGTATCTTGAGCAGAGTGAAAGCAGAGCTATAAGTTGTGTGGACTGGAAAAACACTTCATACATAGCTTAGTAACCTAGTGTCTCTAGGAAAGTGCTAGGGCTGGGGACAGGCTGGGTTCAAATTTCACACCAAAAGGTGTTCAATGTACTTTATATATACAGTGGTACCTCAGGTTAAGTACTTAATTCATTCCTGAGGTCTGTACTTAACCTGAAGCACCACTTTAGCTAATGGGGCCTCCTGCTGCCGCCAGAGCACGATTTCTGTTCTCATCCTGAAGCAAAGTTCTTAACCTGAAGCACTATTTCTGGGTTAGCAGAGTCTGTAACCTGAGGTACTACTGTACCATAACATAAAAGGCACAAAATGAGTACCTTGAAAGGTAGGTATTTTATATCCTGCTGCACAGAAGGATCATTCCATGTTCTACCAATGAGGCGCTTGGCATCAAATACAGTATTCTCAGGGTTTGAAGTCAGCTGGTTCTTTGCTGCATCACCTATAAGACGTTCCCCCTCTGGTGTGAAGGCCACATAGGAGGGTGTGATTCTGTTACCCTGGTCATTAGCAATTATCTCCACACGCCCATTCTTGAAAACACCAACACTGTAAAAGAGAATGGAAGTTACTTTTTAAAATATATGTATTATTTAAAGGCTTCTTTAAATAGTAAAAGCAAAACTAAAGAAATGCCATGGTCAGATCACTTCCTGGTGAAACTAGACTTCTCCGCGACCCTTCCCCTCTGCAGGGAGGTAGGACCGATTTGGATGGTCTGCCCCCACCACTTAATAGATCAAAATGGTTTCCAGAGAGTGGTAGGGGATGCTTTATCCCATGCTGATGGCCTTTCATCAGTTTCCCTGGTGGCCCGCTGGAATGTGGCGTTAGCCAGGGCTATCAACTGTCTGGCTCCGAAGCGCACTCTCCGACTGCATGGAGCCTGGACAACCCCGTGGTTTTCCACGGATCTGAGGGCAATGAAACAATTGCTGAGACGGCTAGAGCGCCGGTGGCGTATAACTCATTCTGAAGCTGACCGGACATGGGTTAGAGCTCAATGTCGAGTCTACCAAGTGGTGGTAGCAATGGCGAAGAAGACTTTCTTCACCACCTCTATTGCATCTGCAGAAAACAGCAGCAGGAGGCTCTTTAAGGCAGTTCGCAATTTAGCAGAACCACCTGCTACATCAGGGACCAGTACGGGCCACATGATTTCCTGCAATGATTTTTTGCAGATAAAGTCGCTCAGATTCGGGAAGAGGTAGACTCACAGCTGTCCATGGAGGTGCAGGTCAATTCTGTGTCCAGGGCAACTGTCTACCAGCTCCATCTGGTACACAGGCTGAGACCCCACCTGCCCGCAGACTGTCTCGCCAGAGTGGTACATGCTCTAGTTATCTCTCGCTTGGACTACTGCAATGTGCTCTACGTGGGGCTACTTTTGAAGGTGACCCGGAAACTACAACTAATCCAGAATTTGGCAGCTAGACTGGTGACTGGGAGCGGCCAAGACCACATAACACCGACCTTGAAAGACCTACACTGGCTCCCATTACATTTCCGAGCACAATTCAAAGTGTTGGTGCTGAACTTTAAACATCTAAATGGCCTCAGCCCAGTATACCTGAAGGAGTGTCTCCACCCCCATCGTTCTGCCCGGACGCTGAAGTCTAGCGCCAAAGGCCTTCTGGCGATTCCCTCGCTGCAAGAAGCCAAGTTACAGGGAACCAGGCATAGGGCCTTCTCGGTAGTGGCACCCGCCCTGTGAAACGCTCGCCCACCAGATGTCAAAGAGAAAAACAATTACCAGACTTTTAGAAGACATCTGAAGGCAGCCCTGTTTAGGGAAGCTTTTAATGTTTAATAGATTATTGTATTTTAATATTCTGTTGGAAGCCACTCATTATTATATTATTATTATTCTGGGTGGTTCACAAAATATAATACACCTAAAATACAGTACATTAATATGCATTAACACAACCAAGGAAAAATGACCACCACCAACAAAAACAGAATTCACACAAAACCAACAACAAACAGGAGAAAATCAAGCACATCAAGCAAAAAATCTGATCCCTATGATGAGGTGCAGCAAGCAAGCTAGTTGTATCCTCTGGGCAGCCTAATACTAATGTTTCTGGCCAGTACTCAAGCTTTTAGTTGTAAGACTACACTAAAACAAAATAGTTTGAGTTGAATAGATATTGTATTATTACTCCCTTGACTTGTACCAAGTGCATTAAAATAGTAATACAGTACAATTAGTTTGCATACACTAGTGCAGAATCTTGGCCATATTTTGGTGCAGTGGCCATAAGCTATTCAAGACACCCAGAAGCCAGTCAATCAAATAGGCACCCTTCTTTTACTTACCAGGAATATGTGGTTCCCAGATCAATGCCAACCACAGTCCCCACATCCTCCTTTTTGTCGTCGTCATCAGCAGCAAATACACTGCCAATGAGCAACAGGCAGACAAGGGCATACTTCATTCTGCCCTTGTACCAAATATTCACAATCAGAGAGAGAAAAAACCCTGTAATAAGTAAAATCAACCATCAGTGGCAATACTATGAGCAAAAAGACAATACCATGATGCCCGTTTAACGGAAATGGGGGCAGATTTACAGAGTAAGCATTACTGGTCCCACACATCCTTAGCAAAGGCTGGGAGGGCCAATCAGGACTAGAGGCTACCAAGACCCACAGCCTGCAAACATGCAGGCAGCTCAAAGAAAACACCCCACCCCAAATCCTATACAAAGGAGGTCCAGGAAAATTTCTGTTCAAGGAAAAGGCCGCAAAGGGGTTAAGAAAATATGTAGCTCTCATGATACTTAAACATGAATGTGAACCCACACACACTGCTAAATTCTACAGGCATCCATCGAGAAAAATAATGTGGAAAGGCAGTATGTAAAAGCTGCAAAACCTAACATCAAAAAAAAGGCTACCAACCTCTTAACTTTAGTTCAGACAACCCCAACATTAAAGGCAAAGAGTAAGTATGTAATCCAGTGCCAGAGATAGGCTGCTCCCCCCTCCCCATTTTTTTGGTATATGGAGTCACTGTAAAACGAGTAGCCTCAAATCAAATAATTAACGTTGTTCACTGCAACCACAGCTGTTTTGCCTTCACCATTCTCATAAGGTGAAGTGGGAGAAGGGAGTAGTCGCTGTCCCCGTCACCAGAAACCCAGCTATTACCATTTACCCCAAACCGGTAAAGGTTATCAATATACAAAACCAACACCATATAGAAACATCTAGCAAGTTCTGCTTTTTGCAAAAAAATCCCCTCTCCCAGGTAAGGAGCAAGGGGGAACGAAAAAGAATACCCCACACAAACATCTGTTCCTATTCTGCGATACAAACCCCTTTTATTCATGCATGCATACCAAATACTGTAATCACTGCAATCGCCACCCAACCACCACCACCAAGGGAGAATATGGATCTGGCAGGAAATGCGAATAAAAATGGCGCGCGCTTTGGACCGAGAGCCGCAATAGGATTTTTCTCAATGGGAACCTGAGTAAATGAGAACGAAGTGGCATTATGAGGGCAAGGGGGACCCCGCAAGGCCCGATAGATTTGGAGAAGCCGCCCTCCCCTTCTCGTTAGGCCCCGGCCCCCGCCTCTTCCTCCGCTCAAGAACTAGGCCGCCCCAAGCCTTACCTGTATTAGGTAACAGGACCTCGCGGTCACCTCACGCACTATCCGACAAACGCAACAATCCGAATTCTGATTTTCTCACTCAAAGTTCACCGGTTTGGCCCATATGTCCCCCTCGGCTCTTATATACCTTCCCGTGGCCTTGCGTGCAGTCCCACTATTGGCCCATTTTCTCTCGCTGGAGCCTCCCGATTGGTCGCTTGCCACTAAGCTGGCCGGAGCCGATAGGTCCGCTACGTCCCTGACGTTAGGCCCCGTCGCGCACCGCTCCGTCGGGCTTGGTTGTGTCGCTTTCCTTCCCCTCCCCTTCTCTTTCCTCTCGGCCGTCCTCGAGCCTCATTGGGCCGTCCTACCGGTGTCGCGGTCCAATCAAGGGCTGCTGCATGAGCTAAGCGGAACGAGCTCATTAGCTGGAATTGGGCGTCGTGTTGAAAAATCTCTAGGCAGGGAGTGTTGGCACTTTCTGAAAGTTTCTATGGTTACGAGGCCTAGCTGCCTGTTATAGGCGGTGGCAGAAGAAGGAATAGGTTGCTGTGACTATGGCTGCCACAATGTCTCCGTAGGCAGTACTGAAGGCTGCTTTGCACCCCCCAGAAAACAAAACAAAAACCCACCCCCAACGACCGCAATACACAGACATTTCACGCACCCTTTAAACTCCAAGAAAATGCGGAACATAAAACCCTTTCTCTTAACTCACCGGCCGGTTTCTGACAGAACGGACGCGTCAACCACTCAGTCGGACCCAGAAACACAGTCACCACCGGCTGGCAGAAGTGACGTGACAGAAAGGGACTAGGGACGCATGCGCAAAGAGAGGTGCTTTTGTTTTGTTGTTTAGTCGTTTAGTCGTGTCCGACTCTTCGTGACCCCATGGACCAGAGCACGCCAGGCACTCCTGTCTTCCACTGCCTCCCGCAGTTTGGTCAAACTCATGCTGGTAGCTTCGAAAACACTGTCCAACCATCTCGTCCTCTGTCGTCCCCTTCTCCTTGTGCCCTCCATCTTTCCCAACATCAGGGTCTTTTCCAGGAAGTCTTCTCTTCTCATGAGGTGGCCAAAGTATTGGAGCCTCAACTTCACGATCTGTCCTTCCAGTGAGCACTCAGGGCTGATTTCCTTAAGAATGGATCGGTTTGATCTTCTTGCAGTCCATGGGACTCTCAAGAGTCTCCTCCAGCACCATAATTCAAAAGCATCAATTCTTCGGCGATCAGCCTTCTTTATGGTCCAGCTCTCACTTCCATACATCACTACTGGGAAAACCATGGCTTTAACTATACGGACCTTTGTTGGCAAGGTGATGTCTCTGCTTTTAAGATGCTGTCTAGGTTTGCCATCGCCTTTCTCCCAAGGAGCAGGCGTCTTTTAATTTCGTGACTGCTGTCACCATCTGCAGTGATCATGGAGCCCAAGAAGGTAAAATCTCTCACTGCCTCCATTTCTTCCCCTTCTATTTGCCAGGAGGTGATGGGCCCAGTGGCCATGATCTTCGTTTTTTTGATGTTGAGCTTCAGACCATATTTTGCGCTCTCCTCTTTCACCCTCATTAAAAGTTTCTTTAATTCCTCCTCACTTTCTGTCATCAAGGTTGTGTCATCTGCATATCTGAGGTTGTTGATATTTCTTCCGGCGATCTTAATTCCGGCTTGGGATTCATCCAGCCCAGCCTTTCGCATGATGAATTCTGCATATAAGTTAAATAAGCAGGGAGACAATATACAGCCTTGCCGTACTCCTTTCCCAATTTTGAACCAGTCAGTTGTTCCATATCCAGTTCTAACTGTAGCTTCTTGTCCCACATAGAGATTTCTCAGGAGACAGATGAGGTGATCGGGCACTCCCATTTCTTTAAGAACTTGCCATAGTTTGCTGTGGTCGACACAGTCAAAGGCTTTGCATAGTCAATGAAGCAGAAGTAGATGTCTTTCTGGAACTCTCTAGCTTTCTCCATAATCCAGCACATGTTTGCAACTTGGTCTCTGGTTCCTCTGCCCCTTCGAAATCCAGCTTACACTTCTGGGAGTTCTCGGTCCACATACTGCTTGAGCCTTCCTTGTAGAATTTTAAGCATAACCTTGCTAGCGTGTGAAATGAGTGCAATTGTGCGGTAGTTGGAGCATTCTTTGGAACTGCCCTTCTTTGGGATTGGGATGTAGACTGATCTTCTCCAATCCTCTGGCCACTGCTGAGTTTTCCAAATTTGCTAGCATATTGAGTGTAGCACCTTAACAGCATCATCTTTTAAACTTTTAAATAGTTCAGCTGGAATATCATCACTTCCACTGGCCTTGTATTTTTATAAAGGATATTTTCTTCAGTCAAAGGTGCTCTTTAAATGTCCACATTTCAGATAAACAGGGTGTGTTTTATAATCTGATGCTTTATGCATCTGCCTTCAGCTGTTCAGTTGCAGAAATGCAAGCTCCAGAGCTGGGTTTTAGCAACCTCATCAGGATCTCAGGCACTCATCAACTTGATTTCCAGCTCCTTTTGCTGGCTGAGCTGCTTTTTATAGATCAGCAGTTGCAAAAGTCTCGTGTCTCCTTCCCCTCTCCCACCACCACCTCCAAGCTTTCTAAAATGCCTCTTTTGTGCTGGTTCATGGGATGTTTTGCCTTACATATTAATCTTCTATTCAGTGGCAGAGTCAATTTGCCTGCTTTAAAAAAACAACAGAAGGGGCGTTTCTTATGGAACCATTGGCAAAGATCCATAGCCATACTTGTTACAATTGCTCACCAGAAGATCCTTGCAGATGGATAATTATATATTTTGTGATTTTGTGTTCTAGTTTTGTTCTGTGAGCTGCCCTGAAACCTCTGGGGATAGGGTGGAATATAAATAATAAAAATAAAAAAAATAAATAACAAAACATTTCTCTCATAATACCAGAACTCTTACTCATGCAGCACATAGTTAAACCTGTGGAGCTCACTGCCACAGGAGGCAGTGATGGCCACCAACTTGGAGAGCTTCCAGCTGCTCCTGATTGAAGTGCAGAGAGTTTGAGGACCAGGACATTTGCAGGGAAACAAAAATGCTGGTGTATAAAGCTGTTGTACTACCAACCTTACTGTATGCTTGTGAAACATGGACCACTTATAAATGCCATCTCCAACTCCTTGAAAGATTCCATCAACAGTGTGTCTGAAAAAAATTACATCTCACTTGGGAAGACAGGCGAATTAATTCCAGTGTACTGGAAGAAGCAAAGATCACCAGTGCCGAAGCAATGATTCTTCAACATCAACTTCGTTGGAATGGTCATGTTGTGTGGATGCCTGATTATTGTCTTCCAAAGCAACTACTCTATTCTGAATTTAAAAATAGAAAGCATAATACTGGTGCTCAACAAAAGAGGTTTAAAGACTCTCTCAAGGCAAATCTAAAAAAAGTCGTATAAACACCAACAACTGGGAAACACTGGCCTGCGAGCGCTCCAGTTGGGGAACAGCCTTTACCAAAGGTGTCATAGTCTTTGAAGATGCTCAAACTCAGCACGAAAGGGAGAAACGTGCTAAGAGGAAGGAACATTTGGCAAATCCTCACCGTGATAAACTCCCGCCTGGAAAACTATGTCCCCACTGTGGAAGGACATGTGGGTCCAGAATTGGCCTCCATAGTCACTTACGGACTCACTGTTAAGACCGTATTCATGGAAGAATCTTACTTGGCTACGAGTGATCGCCAAAGAAGAAGAAGGTGGGGACCCCAGGACTATGTCAGAGACAATGTGCTGGGGAGTAGTCTCAAGGAAGAGTTCTCAACCAAGCATCTCTTTTTCTTTTATTTATTTTTTTAAAAAATCTTATTTATTGATTTTTTTACAAAAAAACTTTTAAAATGTTAACATAAAATGTAAGTTACGGTACTTTATGCATTTTCTTCCTGTCCTCCCCTTCCATGGTTTCCATATTTACCCTTTTTCAATAAAAAAATTGATGAAAGAATTCCAATTATTAATAATAATAATAATAATAATAATAATAATAATAATTTATTTATATCCCGCCCTCCCCAGCTGAAGCCGGGCTCAGAGCAGCTAACAACAATAAAAGTAACACAGTTTACATAAAATCACAATCAATTCATTGAAATGCATTCTAAAATCAATTCATTCTAAAATCAATTCAAAATCAAATTAATGGCAACCATTGGGCTAGAGTTCTGTGAGGATTACCGAAGGAGGGGGTCAGACTGTGCTTTGGCCAAAGGCCTGGTGGAACAGCTCTGTCTTGCAGGCCCTGCGGAAAGATGTCAAGTCCCGCAGGGCCCTGGTCACTTGTGACACAGCATTCCACTAGATCGGGGCCACGGTCGAAAAAGCCCTGGCTCTGGTTGAGGCCAGCCTAACCTCCCTGTGGCCTGGGATCTCTGAGATGTTTTTATTTGAAGACCGTAAGGTCCTCTGTAGGACATACCAGGAGAGGCGGTCCCATAGGTATGAGGGTCCTAGGCCGTATAGGACTTTAAAGGTTAAAACCAGTACCTTGAACCTGATCCTGTACTCCACCAGGAGCCACTGCAGCCGGTATAGCACCAGGTGAATGTAAGGAGTCTCGCCGCAGCATTCTGCACCCGCTGGAGTTTCTGGGTCAGTCTCAAGGGCAGCCCCACAATAAGTTACAATAATCAAGTCTGAAGGTGACCGTCGCATGGATCACAGTGGCTAGGTAAGGGCAAGAGAGGTAAGGAGCCAACTGCTTAGCTTGGCGGAGATGGAAAAATGCCGCCTTTGTTATAGCTGCAATCTGCGCCTCCATGGAAAGGGAGGTGTCAAAGATTACACCCAAACTCTTAACGGACGGTGCTGGGACAAATTGTGCCCCCGCAAGAGATAGGAGTTGCCCCCCCCAATCCCATATCATCCCAACCTAGCCAAAGGACCTCTATCTTCGAAGGATTTAACTTCAACCGGCTCCCATGTAACCATCCAGACACAGCTTCCAAACATCTGATCAGTGTGTCTGAGGCCGAGTCAGGATGGCCGTCCATCAACAGATAGAGTTGGGTGTCATCAGCATACTGATGACAGCCCAAACCAAAACTCCAGACAAGCTGGGCGAGGGGGCGCATAAAGATGTTGAAAAGCATTGGGGAGAGTATCGCACCCTGCAGCACTCCACACACCAAGGAGTGGCGCAATGACAGTTCCCCCCAAGCGCCACCCTCTGTCCCCGACCAGAGAGAAACGAGCGCAGCCATTGAAGGACTGTGCCCTGGATCTCCATGTTGGTGAGGCGGTGGTCCAGGAGTTCGTGGTCGACCATGTTGAAGGCTGCTGACAGGTCTAAAAGAATCAGCAGCCCCGACCCGCCTCGATCCAGCTGCCTGCGGAGATCATCTGTTAGAGCGACCAGAGCCATCTCAGTCCCATGACCAGAGCGGAAGCCGGATTGGAATGGATCCAGAGCCGATGTTTCATCCAGAAACCCACCAAGCTGTTCAGCAACCGCTCTCTCAATCACCCAAGATTCGAAACCGGGCGGTAATTGGATAGATCTAAAGGATCTAATGATGTTTTCTTTAAGAGCAGGTGCACCACTGCCTCCTTCAGTTCCCCTGGGAATGTCCCGGTGCCAAGGGACAAATTGATGATATCTCCTAGGGGGCCCCGCACCTCGTCTGGACACGCTCTAATCAGCCAGAACGGGTACAGGTCAAGAGGACAAGTGGTGGGCTTTCCAGCTCGGAGTCTGTCCACATCGGCTGGGGATATCCAGTCAAAGTGGTCCAATACTGGACCCGAGGACAGTCG